CAGTGTCACCCTGTGTGCCCACCGCCCCTCTCCTGCCTCACTGCACAGTCAGCTCAAATGTCACCTCCCCAGAAAGGTCTTCCTTGATTACCCCCATAAACCAGCACATGGACTCCTAAATCACTGGCTCCTGCTTCAGTTGACTGGCTGGGACTGGTACATAATTATTGCTGTATTTATTGGCTGATTGTCTATCTCCTCCATTGGAATGTAAGTTTCCTTCATTATTTTATCCCATGATCTAAATGACTGCCTGGCATGAAAAGTGTATAAATTATTGGTGATTAAATGGATTTACCCAAGACAATAAACTTTACATCTCAGTTTATCTCTCTGTTGAAGGATCTTATTGTACGATATGTTCTTCAGTCAGAATATATTTGTTTGCAATGATATCACACATGCATAAGTTATGTGAGGATTGATTCACTGATATTTACTTGTATGCACCAAAATGTACTACAACCATGTGCCTTTTTCCTCAGTAACAATACATTAAAATGTTGGATTCCTGTACAATACTGGCCTATAACTCTTGGACTGATAAACAATTAATACTACCTACCAGCTGGCTCAGTAGTGTTAACCATATAAAATATTAATCATGTGGCATTTCACTCAAAATACCTTTAAGAAATATAAACTAATCATAGACTTGAATATTTTATTTGACACTAAAAGCTCTAAAATGTAAGCTAAAACACATTATAGTTCTAGGCTTATTTTTCCTAGGGGAATACAAATTTAGTTATATAGAAATGTTAGTCCCTTAAAAATTAGATCTATAACATAAATTGGGAGGAGAAAAAGAACATTGCTGAATTATTGATTTAAAATGTAAAACTTATTTTTACATTTTACCATGATGTTGAATTCAAATAAGTGAAAATGCATTTTCAAGAAAATAGTGATTTGTTCTTAGATGGAGTGTCTGGAAATAATAAAGTCACATGATTTTATATATTTTATTTTCCCTTATTAAAAAAAAAGCGGCAGTTACACTTCTCATCAACCATGGTGTTGGTAAACATTTTCATAGCAGCCTGTCAGTGGGAATTGCTCCAAGATTCTTGTGATGACTCCATATCTTAAAATAAATTTAATCGATCTAAATAAGCTATCAATAATATGGCTAATTTACCCTAACAATTGCCCTATCCCTAGCTATAAAGTTACTCATATCGGCATCCCTATCCCCTTTCTAATCTAGATATAGCCCTATTTAAATTGATAAACATAGCTTAACCTAAGCTTGAAACAGCTAGAGGTAGAGAATGCTCCAACAGTGGTTCTCAACCTTCCTAAACCACGACCCTATAATACAGTTCTTCATGTTCTGGTGACTCCCAACAACAAAATTATTTTTCTTGCTACTTCATAACTGTAATTTGGCTACAGTTATGTCTTAGGCGACCCCTATAAAAGGGTAATTCGCACCCCAAAGGGGTCAGGACACACAGGTTGCGAACTGCTGCTCTAGAATGAAACTAGCCTTAGTCTAATACCTATCTCTTGCCCCTGGACTAAACCCTACGCACCCTTGATCTAACACTATTTCTAAACATAGCCATGAGCCGAATTGAAATCTCAACCCTAAACTCAGACCAAACACCAACCATAAGCCTATCACTAGACCTAGGCATAACCCTATCTCAATCCCTAACCCTAACAATAAATTTACTCATAAACCTAACCCAAACCCTAACCCTAACCCTAATCCAATCCCTAACCCTAACCCTAACCCTACCCCTAACCCTAACTCTAACCCAACACCAAACCCTAACCCTAATATAACCCTAACCCTAACCCAACCCTGAACCCTGAACCCTAACCTTTACCCTAAACCTAACCCTAACCCCACCCAAACCCTAAGCAAGGCTTTAGGCTTAATTCTAGCCTTAACCCTCGACCTAGCCCTAGCCCCTGCCCTAAACCTAACCCCAACTCTAGACTTACCACTAACCCTAAACATAGCCATAACCCTAACCAAAATCTGAACCCCAACTCTAGACCAACACTAATCCTATCCCTAACCCTAACAATAACACTACGTTTACTCATAGCCTTAACCATAACCCTTAACTTTAGCACCAGACCTACTTTAGACCCAGCCCTAACCCTAACCCTAACCCAGCCCCTAACTCTAACTCTAATCCTAGCCCTAGCCCTAGTGCGATGTCTAGACCTAAAGGTAATTTAGAAAAGTCCAGGAACGGTCTTGAAAGCAGCAGCAATGTGCTTCCTAAGAAGTGAGCCACCCGAGTCCTTGCTATGTTGCCGGCCTAAGCCTGCAGATTTGAGGCTGAGTGAGAACCTGCTTCTTCTCCTGGCCACGTGGCCACTAAGGTATTTTTGGTGTGTACCTGAAAGAAAGTAACGTTTTCACAACACAGAGGCAGGAGAAGCCCCAAAGACGCACTGTGTTCCGGATAAACCCTTACAGAGGCTGGATTACATTTCTGAAGTCATGATTTTGTGTGCCAACACGCAGGTCACGATTCAGCATCTATTTGAGGGATTTGGTCCCGTGTCAATTTGTCTATAATCTCCTGCAACCGCAATACACGCCGCATCGCTTCACTATGTCAGTAAGTGGGGGATTGATCTCCGCTTGATTTGTTTTGCTCTGAGTATTGTTTTTGCTTCAGCGAAAAAGATTTCCAAGAAAAACCAAAGACAAGAAATTGTCCTAGAAATATCCTATCTTATTCCTACACTGGGATTGATTAATCAAGGAAATTGCGATTCTCCATCTCACAAAGAATTCTTAGAGAATTAGAACACAGAATCTTGGCGTGAGGTCCTTTCCCCTTAACCCTTAGCTGTGATCATGTTTATCATTTTACTTTTGCTCTGTTCTCAATTATAGAGTTTATATCCTTGAAGACATTGAGATGCTTCAGAGTTTCTAGAGAAAAAAAAAAACAAAACATATTCTGTTTTGAGTTATACGAAGCAATCAACATGTTCCCATATTTGGCTCATAAATTCATAATGCTAAAATTCATAGGGAAATACTGAAACATGTTTGCTCATCACAGGTGGCAAAAAAATTAGTGTCTCATGCTCAGTCTGAACCACGTTACAGGAATATTATAATTTAGATGAAATCAACTTTTGATTCCCTATTCTGAGACAAAAAGTACAGTCCCAACATTATTAAATGACAAAATAATTCTGGCCTCTATATCAGTTTGTGGGCATTATTTTAAAAATATTTTATTTACCTAAAACTTTTACATATTGCTAAAATCTGTATTCAGTACGAGACAGTCAGTGGTGCAGCTGGAGCGTAATATTCTCGGTGAGGATTAGGGCTGGGCCGATGTTTAATTACAAGTTCTGAGTCTGCGAGGTGACTTGCAGAAGTCCTGTTTTGCACCTGTGACTAGACACAGACGGACCTTGTCCTGGGCTAGACTCTTCTCCTGAATTGTTTCGCTCCTGGGTGACCACCTGCAAACAGAAGTCTGTCTTGGCCAAGGTGTGTACAATCTGTTTAGAATTTATGCAGCGGAGAGATCAGGACTTGGACAGGTATGAGGAGGTGAGCTCTGTACCCCTGGACTGAAGGGAAATGTGAGAGAAAAGGAGACCCAGAAATGTTCCCACAATTAGCTTGAATTCGCTGCTGTTCCTGTAACTATAAGCCTGGTCCACAGCTCGCCTTCGATGAACACACTCTACCGGGAATTTCCATATACGTCCTGTCAGATCCTTGCACCAAGTCCCCAGCCAGCTCAGGCCCTAGGCCCCGTCCAGTCAGGACTCACTGTGCTCCAGGGAAGCCCAAGAACTCTGACAGGTAGGAATGCACCAGAGAAATTTAAAATCTCTGTTCTGACGATGATCCATACTTGCATTTTTTAAGAGAAAATGAGGTTGCCCATTTATAGTTCAACTCGCCAGACCCTATTGACAAGTGGGGGCTGTTTTCAACGGAGGAAGACAATAAAGACAGATGAAAATTTAACATGACACTATAAACGCAACATATTTTAAATAAATATTTTAATTCTATTGTTGGCATTTACAAGTAGAAAGCATACAGTATGTTACAAATATCAAAATGTGAAAAATATGAACGTTACATAAGTAACAAATGTAAAAAAAGTATTTTCTTACCTTCCCGGAAAGTAAGAAAACTATTCAGCATAGGAAAATATCAGTATCAAAAACACAGCTTAGGCATAAAAAAAAAAAAAAAAAAGTTTTTACACAGTATTAAAAAATGATCTACAAAATGGCAGAACGTAAAGAAGTGTTGAAATTTGATGTTATATAAATTATAAAAACTGGGTACTTGGGGTAAATGCTCAATGGTTGAAAAGTAAGTCCAATCACAGGCTTTGCTTAGGTCGATTTTTAAAGAAAAAATTTAAAAGCATAGAACATTTTTCAATAAATAACTTTGCAAAGTGTCTCTGGGAGATGCGGCTGGTGGCTCTGTCCCACAGCAGAAGGTGACAGTGTTCTGGGAGGACACGGACTTGTTTCGTTCCTAGCGGACGCCTGATGAAAATAAAACCATCACTGTTTACACCAAAAAGAGTCAGAAGTCTTAACACAATTCCATAAAAAAATTTCTAAAGTGCTGAACTTCGTTTAGTACCCACGGTCCCGTAACACATATTCAGACCTTCGGACCTTCCCGAACAACAGCGGACAGGAATCTGTTGTTCTGAGAGGTGTTAACACTTAGTCTTCCCTTCGGGGCTGGGAGGGTCTTCTCTACACTTTACAAGGATGGGTTAAACCTCAGGGGCCTTGCGATGCAAGACAGAACAACAGTAACACAACGGCAACAGTACACAACCCCACTGTGAGAGCCACAAGTTCACGTCCGCACGGCAAAGGGATTCATGGTTACAGGAAACACCTTTCCGAAAGCTGCACCTACCACTAGTCACCAACACGATGCATGCAGGACCGACACGTCAACGGAGCACCTTTAAATGAAAGAGCTGTTCAGAGTCCCTTTCAGCAGCACTGTGGTTATTATTTTTGTTTCCCTCCAACACCAGTCCTCGCTGGCCGGGACGAGGACAGCGCCACGCCCTTGTCTGTCTGCAGCCTGCCCACCCTCGGCCTTCACACGTACTGTTCGGCTTCCCCATCCTTGGGGACCGGCTGAGCCGCCCCGCTTTTGCCGTCCTCATGTGCTGCTGCTTTTTCTGGGAGAGAGGCCAGATCTTTAAAAACATCCACATAGTGTCCGAAGCCAGGGCCCCAGTTCAAGAGGTGGTCCCAGTTGAAATTCCCTGCTTGCTGCCCCAGCTTCAAGGGCAGGGTGCTGTCGGCCGGCCCCGGCGTCTGTGCGCCCCCGGGCGCCCCCTCCGCCCGGCGGCCGTGGTACCTCCGGGGCTTCAGCCTGGCGCCGTAGTTATCTTCATCGTCCGCATCCGACTCGTTGACTTGGGACAACTTGGGCATCCTGGAGGTGTACACCGTCGGCTTCTCCCTGTCGTACTCCATCTCGGAACAGGTGAAGGACTCGTGCGAGTCGCTGTCGGACGAGGATTCCGGGGCGGGGATGCCGTCGGCGGGGTTCCTGGTTCGCGACAGCGGCCTCCGGCAGTCCTCCTCCGAGGACGACCTCCCGTGGTCCGCACTGCAGATGCTGGGGTTCCTGGGGCGCGGCGTGTTGAGCCTTTCCACCTCTTCAATGGAGAGCCCCACGGGCGGGGAGGACTCCAGCGGGATCTGCCCGATCGGCTGCTTCAGGCGGCTGCCGGGGCGGGAGCCGTGCGCGCCCAGGGCCTGCGGGCTCTTGCTCCTCCGCCCCAGCCTGGTGGCGTAGTTGAAAAGGCCAGGCTGGCAGGCGTCCCCGTGCGCGTCGGCGCCCGGCTCCCGCGCAGCCAGGTGCAGCTCGCGCGCAGGGCTGTTGCGGTAGAAGGTGGAGGACTTGGCGAAGGGCGCGGGGCTGTGGCGCGACAGCGGGTTGGGCGTCGGGCAGGCCGAGTGGCTGAGGGAGCCGGTCCGCACGCCTGGGCCGTAGGAAGGCTGGTAGGTCAGGCTGCTGGCGCCCAGGGGCATGGGCGACTGCCTGGCGAAGCCCAGGGGGCTGTGCCTCTGGATGGAGAACTTGGGGGTGTGGCTGCGGAACTGCTTGTAGTGCTGGATGATGTCGGCGTCGGACGGGGCGATGCTGCTGGCGTTGTCGATGTCGTAGTGCTCTATCTCCTGCTCCGGGGAGGCCAGGGGCGCGCTGGGGATGGTCTCCGAGTTGTGGGGGAGGTCGCTCTCGTCATAGATGAGGTAGGGGTTCTCCCTTTCAATGATATCGGGCTTGGGGTTCCCCTCCGGCTGCTTCCGCACCGTCATGTCATCCCCGTAGGGAGGGATGTTGTCTGGGTCGTCAAAAGCCACGTTCTCGCTCCCCTTTTTCTTCTTCTCCTTCGGTTTCTTCTCCTCCTTGGGGTCTTTGGTCTTCTTGCCTCTGCACTGGTTACAGAGGATCAGGCTGAGGACCAGGAGGGCCAGGACGGTGGCGCAGCTGCCCACGATGGCGGGCACGGCCCACAGGGGCAGGGAGATCTCCTCAGGGCCCTGACTCAGGACGCACACGTGCCCCCCGGGGCTGCTGGCTTTGCACACCCTGCCCTGAGGACAGACGACGCCCAGGCAGGCCACCACCGTCTCACAGGTCCTCCCCGTGTGCGACTCCGGGCAGCTGCAGGTGAAGCCCGAGTGCAGGCCCGGCTCGCAGCTGCCCCCGTTCTGGCAGGGGTGGGAGGCGCAGTCGCCGGGGGGCACACACTTGTAGGCGTACCACTGGTTGATGCACAGTAAGTCGCCCCAGCAGGGGTTGCTGGCGCAGATGTTGGGCCCCCGACAGCCGATCTTCACCGAGGGGTCCGTCTTGGAGATGGAGGCCAAGCTGTGCTTCCCGCTGAAAGGCAGACTCTCCCCGCCATACAGCATAGACGCGATGCAGCCGTCGAAACCTGCGGGGACAGGGCGGTCAGAGCAAAGGAGGGCTGATGGAGCCCGCTCCAGGGGAGCCACAGAATCACATCACGGGAGCCCAGAGACCACCGCCTGGCAGCCAGCGTCCCGCTCCAGGGCTGTATATCTGTCCGTCTGACTGCCTAGCTTCTGAGCAAGGCCGGGAAGACACCCACCACCCCGCTGCGGGGAGGATGGGATCCCCCTGCGGAACATTGGCCAACGACTCAGACAGGCTGCGGGTGCTCTCTCTCCCTCTCTTTGTTTCTTTAATTATCTATTCTTTTATGTTTATAGTCTACATACCAAGAACAGTGTTCATAGAAATAAAATTAATTTGAACAAATATGTATAAAGAACACAAAAGAGGCCAATGGCTTCCCTCATGGGATCATGCGCTCTCAATGGAGGGGATATTGCGCCCCCGGAGTTGAGCATAGGTTCTTGGGGAGCAAAAGAAACATCTTAGCTATTACAGTGATTTGTGGGTCTTGAAAGGGAGATACAGAGTAGAATTCTATATTTCCCAAGTAGGGATAGCGGGGGTTAGAAAAAAAGGTCTAAAATGGCTCCTTAGAGGGTGATGATTAGTTTTTTAACATATTGAGAAACATGTTGGTAGACTAGAGTTTTGCTAATAATCCTGTCCCAGGGCCCAAGACTCCATTTTGTCACTAACAAAATGCATGATTTGCATTGACTTGTTTTCCTAAATGAATTAACCTAAATGAATTTCCTAAATGAATGTCCCAATGAATTAACATCTACATTCTCAAATAAGCCCAATATAAACAACTTATAACCCGGACTTGGACATTGCTGCCCTAATTCCATTACTCCCCCATGCATGCTTCAAGTTTCCTCTTACTAATGCACCCTTCCAGTCTAGTGACCTTTGCATCTAGTGGTCCATGCTTTTTCCATCAGCCGTGATATTCGCATTCGCTCCTACTCTCCGGGTTTTCCTTCCATGGCATAGGCTCCTTTCTCTGTCAATCACATCCATGCCCAGAGCTTCCGTGAGCTGCTGGACACTGATAACGCCTAATACGTATTTCCAGCTAAAGCCGAGTGCTGATGGTAGCCCATGTACTGAAAGGTCTTTCTCAAAGGTGCTCTCCACCCAAAATGTCCCCAACCCAAACCCTGATATTTCCCATAGACCTGTTTTCCTTTGTCCTGTTCTGCAGTTGCCTTTCTTAGTGGAACCACCCTTCTAGTTGAAAAGTCAGAAACCTTCCTGAATTTTACCCAAACCACCAACAGTATAGTTGATTCAAATTTTTAAATAGTTCTTCCCTACCCACTTCTTTACACTCCTCTGCCACCACACCAGTCAACCTCACACAATACTGTGCCTACACTGCTGGAGTCTTCCCAGCTAATGTACGTAAGTTCAGGGGAGTCGCCTTCCAATCATGCCCCATGGTGCAGCCTGAAAGATCTTCAACGTCACTGGACCCTCCTAACACTAATTTGTTAGTAACTTCCCATTGTTCTGAGAATCAGACCGAAACTCTATCATGGTCTAGAAGGCCCCACTTCATTTCCCACCTTCATCCTTGGTGCTGGGTTCTGGGATCTTGACTTACTCTACTTTTTTACATTTTTTTTTTTTTTTAACGTTCCTGTCAATATAAGTAAATCTCTCATATTCTCCCATCCTCATCTTCAGAGTTCAGATTTAAGTACAAATGTCAATTTTCCAGGAAAGTTTCCCTTTCTCCTTTTTGGGGCAATCTCTTCGAATTCTGTATTCCTCCTTCACATCATTTGTTATGACTTAAAATAATATGTTTACATGTATAATGGGCTTTTCATTAAGTTCACCATTGACAAGTACAGGGCTCAGTGATATGTGTTGTGTGAATGAACACATGAGTGAGCAACTGAAGCGATGTATAAGTGAATGCTTGGTGGACAAGGAAACCATCAAAGCATCAGGGACTGAACTAGGAGTTGGAAGAACAGACGCAAACATCTACAGTAACTGATGGCCAATCATCCATCCATCATACACTTTCAAAAGAGGGTTATGACAGCCTTAGAATATTCATAAGAGATAATACCAGAAACCCAACTACTTTTAGAGAAACAACTTTACCTGTCCTTTGTGACTGTCCTCAACACAAGCCTTTACCTGTTTGGGTATCTCGATGAGCTTGATTGGGTGGGATTCCTCCAAGGGATATAGTGAGCACATCGAGGCCACCAAAATCCTGGGTGGGGTGGACAATATCTCTGTTGTAGATCCTGTCGATGGACAATACTGTGCCTGTTCCGTTTTTTCCCATTAGAAAAGTGTGCCAGTGGCCATCGGCAACATACACTTCAGGAATATTTCTCTCCACCTTCCCCGCAATTCCTGCATCTGATGTAAAATGTACTTTGCCATTCTTAATCTAGAAACACATGAACATAATGTACAATTAAACTATAATATACTTGAATAACAATGAAGTAAAACCTTACAATATTGCTCAATTTACAGCAGACAGAACAGCTCAAGAGGCTGGCTGTGTTACAGCATACTTACTATCTAGCTCTGTGATTTTAGGTAACAGAGATCTTCATATTCAACCGTTAACAATAGTTTTCAAGGTGCGATCATATTTGTACCTCATTATTCAAGATGCACAGAATCATATTCCAGAACACAACTGAGATAATAACGGGGTGACTACCCCTTTTAAGATAAGTATATCGCAACATTTTTGCGTGTGATTTCCTATAATTTAATAGCAATGGTGAATGTAAAAAAAAAAAAAATTGGTCAGTGTAGTCAATGGCCCATAATGATAAAAAAAATATTAAAACTACTTGCAAAAATAATTCAATGCTTAGATAAAAATGAAGCATAGTCGGAAAAATAAAGACAAAAATGCATTGTTTTACCTATCATCGATCTACAACACGTTGGAATCTTAGGGGAAAAAAGCATGCCTATTATTGTTACATCAGTTACTGAAATTTAAAAAATGATGATGAGTAAAGGGTGAGTTTTTAATCACATGGCGTCTGGGCACGTCTTCACTTCGGTTCTCTCTTCCAGTTTATCTAAGGGATATTTGGTTTCTGTTCCTTCGCCCAGCAGAACACTGGGTAACAGGACGCTCCTACTCCCATTTCCAATGACCAAGTTTCCAGTATTCTGAGTAGACAGTTTGGAAAATAAAATAATTTATGAGACAGATGAACATTTGGTTCAGAGAGCATCCTCGCATCAAACTCCCAGACAGAGCTGGTGCCCGCAGGGGGATGAAGTGACACCATGTCTCAAATGACGGGCATGGGAGGAGGAATCAGTTTATGTTGTCACTCAGAGCAAATGCCATGTCTCCATGCACAAACACATCTGGTAGAGCTGAAAGTCAGTACTTTTGTACTGCGGAAAATATGCCTAACACATTTACATATGTTATTCATATTGTAATATTTTATTAAAGCAGTCTCTCTCAGATAATAATATATTTCAGTACCAAACTCAGAGAGGGAAAAAAGAGAGTTGTGGTTAAATGACAATAACATTTCATCAAATGGGCAACGTCTCATGACATGCGGTAAAAACAGCAACGCGTCTTTGGTTATAGCCAGAGCCCTTTTTGGAAACACGCCTTGGGAAGAGCCTTCTCTCAGCTCTGTGTTTCTCGCCTGATGGATCGCAACTCCTCATCCTCTTACCTGCAGAGGGAGTCTTTGGAACAGACCGCAGAGTGAACTTAAAAAGAACTGTGTAACATCCTTAATGTCTTCCTTTGCCATACTAATGCTCTACCGAACTCCTGTATTCTTTCTAACTTTTAAAACATCATGCTGATGTTCTGCTTTGTTCATGTATTTATTTTCCAATCTACAGAGCTCTGAATGCCTCATCCCAAATTTGTACAATATACCTAGCCTCACTTGAAAACCAAAACAAACCGTCCGGCCAGTGTGACTCAGGGGTTGAGTGTCGACCCATGAACCAAGAGGTAGCCGGTTCGATTCCCAGTCAGTGCACATGCCCAGGTTGTGGGCCTGATCCCCAGTGGGGCATGCAGGAGGAGGCCAGTCGATGTTCTCTCTCATCGATGTTTCCATCTCTCTCTCCCTCTCATTCCTCTCTCTATAAAATCAATAAAGGAAAAAAACAAACTAAAAACAAATACAAACAAACCAAAAAGCTATGCACCACAGCACGGACTTGATTTGGAGTAGAAAGCCCATCATCCGTTATTCCAGAACTCCAGATGCGGAGACACCAGATACGCCAGGACAGGAAAGAGAGCTGGGGACCACTTTGCAGGGTCCATACAGCACCCGGGCGAACTTTTCTTCTGCTTTTCTCTCTGCCACGTTCTCGCCCTCATTTCTCCTCTCTCCTCCAACCATGCACAATGCCGTTGACCCTTTTATTTTCAATTGCACACAAAGTGTGTGTGTGTGTGTGTGTATGTGTGAGAGAGAGAGAGCTGAGTTAGACCATGCAGAAAAAAAGAAAGGAGCTGTCAGAGAGAGAGCCAAAGGAATGAGAGAAGAAAACCAGGGGCCTGGTCACTGATAAGCCAGCTGATAAGGAGCACGCATCTGAACCAGCTTCCCAGGCTGCGTGGACACAGCCTTGCCTGTCATCCCAACTCCAGCCCCCTCTTCCTGTCTATTGAGTTCTCCTTATTCACTGGTTTTGGGTTTGTTTGTTTTTTTAATCTACTTACTTCACCTGCCAAGCCCCTTTAATCTCTGAAAAGATGTTTTCCAACATTTCAAACAAAAGAAATGTGCATTTTGGTCTCATCAGCCATTGTTTGTACTCACAAGCATCGACTGTGCCCTTCCTCACACAATCTGGACACGGGGGCCGGCCGCTGCGCTGGGGCAAATGCAGGATTTGCTGGTGACCAAAATGAGCCCTGACATTCAGCCTGTTTCTCAAGGAAGGGAAAATTCTGTCTCTGGTTTCTCCAACCACACTGGCTTAAAGAGCTCCGGTACAGAGAGTTTTTCGATGTCATTTCAATGGCATGGGGACCTGGACGCAGACAACATGCAGACTGTCGTGTCTGCGCCTCTCGGAGGAGACGCTTCTTGGGGACTGTGCAGGTCCACCTCTCTCTCTGCCTCTTTACTTTCCTGGCTTCTAATACACTGTTCGAGGAAAATCATAAACACCAACTAGTGACATTAGACAGTGACTCGCGGGCTTTGTTTAGCAGTTGCTTGGTTAACTCGGCAACCGGCTCTTTGTTTCCATAGTGGAGGTGAAGCTAGAGGCTGACATTCTCTAGGGCTGGCGCTAGGGACACTTCCAGAGGAACGGGCTCTGTTTGCGGGGTGCTGTGGCGTGCACTGTGGGGTGTTTACAGATATGCCATCTCCCCCAAACCACGACAAGGAAAATGTCTCCAGACTTTGCCAAATGTCCCTGCAGGGTAAAATCACCCCCAGTTGGGAATGACTAGACAAGGGGATTACAACAGAATTTTTAAGAGATTGGTATTTTTTACTTCTTATTAAAGATATGTACACGGAACGTAACAACAAGAGCTGGCTGGGATAAAGAGGCATTTTGAGAATAAAAAGAAGTTTAAAGGTGAACATCTGTTTTTATTTTTAGTATTACATGTGAATTAAACCTAGCATTTTTCTATGCATTTTGCTTTATTAACTAAGTTTTTAGTAATTTTGAAAATATTGCTTTATAGGTGGGAAAAAAATCAGGAAACCTGCATTTTTTAAAAAATAATTTACCAAAATTCATATAAAATTATGAGTAGAATTAGAATACTCAAAGTAATACAGAAAAGAAATAATACAAAACTAAAGATGATGATGATATATGAGACATCTTATTTGTAGGAAAAAAAGCAGAATAATGATTTCAGAAATTAAGAATGCTAAGAGCTGATGGAAAATGCATATCTAATGAAATTGTCCACCAGTCTAGTGTCTCATTTACAGTCAAGAAAAAATAACAAGTTATGTAAAAGCCTAATGAGAAATCAATCCACTGTTTTCATGAAATGTGATGACTAGAAATTATTTACTTAGAACTAATTTTGAGATTTTAGCTATAATTTTACTTGTAATAATTCCAAAGATACTTAACTCCACAGGGTTTAATGGGATAGTAAATTGAATATATGCTCCAGAATAAAGCCAGATAATTTCAAATGTTTTTCCTTATTCCATTCCATTCCCGCCCTTTAATGTTATACAGGGTGGGGCAAAAGTAGGTTTACAGTATTCTCTCTCTCTCCCATTTTTTTCATGTGGGAGGCAGCCAAAGTTTTGGTGGCCTAAAATTAATAAAAGCAAAAAAAAAAAAGTAGGTTTACAGTTGACAGTACACACAACACAAAGTTTCTTCTTGTGTTATTATTTACGGTATTATTTTCCATACGAACAACTATAAACCTCCTTTTGCCCCAGCTTGTAAACATATCAGTATTTGAAATAATTCTTGGAAAAAAAAGGCTTTTTCCATTTCAAAAACACATTATCTTCTTGTTTTACTTTGTTTTAAAGTAGGGGGAAAGCAACCTCAATTTTTATGAGACAAAACAGATCCCAAGTCCCTTCCCTGCTGACCTACCTAGCCTGGTCTCTCCTCTGAACTAAGACAAAAGCGTTTAGAAACCGAACCATTCAGACCTTTGTTGCTCTGGCCAATGCCCGGGAAATAGTTAAGATAGATGACATTGGAACGGTGCCCGGCATTAGTCGGAACTCCAATGGGCTGAAAAAGCAAAGGACAGAAACTGTGGGAGAAGTGATTTCAACGACGACGCAGCCGGCGGTTTAATCCGACGGAGCCCCCGTCCGCTTTGATCTTACCTTCACAGTAGTGTAATTGCTGCTTTCTTGGATGTGGATTAAAACGCCATTCTCACTTCTTGTCCTGAACTTTACTTCCAGACTGTTCACCCCGAACGGCTCCAGCGCGGCCCCGCGGATGCTCTGCCTGAGCAGATACTCCCGCTTCTCCCTCTGGCTCATGTGGTAGTCCAGCCGGCCCCTGCCTCCCAGCGACAAGGCCGTGTCAGGGGTGGCAGCTGCGGGTCAGCAAAGAGCAGGGAGAGAAAGCGCCCGTTATTCCTGAAAGAGTGTCTGCAGGCGACAAAACAGCCCCAAAAGGGACCATGACACCTTTAAGTGTTTGTAATTAATGTCCCCCAACCCTCCTCTTGAAAAAATAATGCCCACGTGTGAATTATTGTCAGGGTGGATTTCAAATGCTCGACTCCATTTCAGGACCGTGAAATGCAAAACGTCGCATGACAGGCATTCATCATTTGGGAAATATTCATTAAATATTTGATACTTGATATACATTATGAATATCTGAGGAGCCAGCCAGCCACCTGTTAAAACTCGGGGGAACTGCAGAGGATCGTTGTTTATAATGGTTCACTGTGTGTCCGAAATTCATAAACGAATGTATGTTTTCATAGTTAGAATGATTTACAAACTTTAAAATCTCTAGCATGTGAGAAATTTGAAGAAAAAAATGTATAAATATTTATATTTGTAACTAACTTTACTACTAGTAATCATCATGTAGAATTTATCATCATGTAAAATTATGATGTCAAATTATACATGAGGATGATCTGACAAGATTGTCACCCTACTGAAGTATGGGAGCACCATAGCTAAAGAAAGGACATAAAATGAGCAAAAAAGGGTTTCAGCATTAAATGGTATGCTTTAAAAAGGCAAATTTTATAGTGTATAAATTATAGCTGTTTTTTAAAAAACAAGCCATTTCTAAAGCCAAAGACTCACTTCATATTCCAGATATACTTGGGTTCCTACTTATTTAATCTTTTTTCCCACTGATTTTTTGATAGAGGGAAACGGAGGGAGGGAGAGGGTGAGAGAAACATCTATGTGAGAAGAAACATATCATTGGTTGCCTCCCACATGACCCTGACTGGGGCCAGGGATTGAACCTGCAACCCAGGTATGCGCTCTTGACCAGAAATTGAACCCCCGACCCTGGTCTGCAGGCCAACGCTCTAATCGCTGAGCCAAACCGGCCAGGGCAGTTCCTACTTATTAAATACTCATCACTTTAAAAAATATCATATATCAAAGTGCTTTTTCTGCTTTAATTTTATCCTAAATAATTAAACACAATCATACCTCTGCTGCTAACATCTTTTTCATTATAGTATCCTTAATTTAATCATGCATTTCTCTTCGTTCTCATATTGTAATAGAACCAACTGATTCTTTTAAAAGGCTGCCAGTTAAATGCAGATTTAAGTACTAACCACTTATTGGAAAAAGCAGCGTTCTGTATCAAAGAGAGCCCGTTAGGGTTGGATAGTCAGTGGGACGTACAGCTTGGAATTAGAGAACGTCCCGGTCTAGTGATGGCTTGAGCATCGGGAAGGTCTCAGTAACAGTAGCATCAGGGTTTAGACACAACTCACGCATAAAGGGATTTAAAAAGTAATATTCAAAAGCAATTCTAATACTGGGAAGTTAAAACGCATGCATCATTTTAGTTGTCACAGATTATGATGCATGGTGTGATGTTTTGAGCTGAGTGTCCAGTGATTTATCGCTTACAGTTTTCTACCAAATACAAAATATCCAACAGAGAAATATAACGGAACGGCAGACACTACGAAGCCCACGGCCTTGTAAAGTGCCTAGCACGCCTATGGGTGAACCAAAACTAAGTGAGACAGTTTTAAAGCGGAAACTAATGACATCTTCCGTGAATAATTCTAAAAGGATGTCACCCTTCCTCAAGTTGGAAATACACATTTTAAAATGTCACTATACTTCACCAATGACTGCCCACTTGATAGTTTCAATATCTGGAAAGGAAACATCACGTAGGGACGTGTGTCGGAGAACGCGTTGGTGCTGGTCACGGTCACGCTAAGTTCTAGGGGAGGCGGAAGGTCTGCGTACATTTTTCACAGTATTTGCCGGTCAGTCCGTCCTTGCAGTGACAGTGCTGCCATGACCAGTGGTCCGTGCAGGTGCTGCCGTGTCGGCAGGGGGTGCGGGAGCACGCGCCTTCCAGCCGAGGGCATCTGAAAGCAAGTCCCAACACAGAGTCAGACAACGCACAACCAGTGGGGCGACGTGTTCAAATTAAACACGAACGTTCTTTAACCTGCTTAGTTTTGTGCGCTCGATTCGTTGACCCTCAAGTTACGACTACATTTTTAGTAAAATATGTTCTTATGGACTTTTTAGAGAGAGAGGACGGGAGAGGGAGAGAGAGAAACATTGATGGGAGAGAGAAACACGGTTCGCTGCCTCCTGCACGCCCCCTGCTGGGGAACGGCACCAGCCAGGCTACAATTACATTTGTAGCCTCTAGTGAACCTGGGACACATGGACCTGCCTCATTCATAAAAGAGACTAAAGAGAATAGCATCTTACCCAGTAAAGAAAAAGAGGTGATAATTGTTTTCTTTAGATTAATTCTTAATTGAGCAAGCTATCTTGGCTCAATGGTCACTTTAGTTAATGTGATCTCTGGGTTATGTGTTTATCTAAGAGCACATTTCGTCTACCAGACAACTCATACAAGTAATGCTTATTAAATGTCTACTATATTGCAAGCCCTATTCCGAGCATGGAGATAAGGTGGCGAAAAAAGTTCATGTGTTCATGGAATATTTCTTTTTCCTTGTGGGGGAAATTGACAGACGCAAACTTAGATAGACGTGTAGTATGTTCAAAAGAAGGAAGCTCTGTGGGAGTTTGGGGGTGGCGGGATCTCTAGATGAGGCAGTGAAGGAAGGACCCCTGATTCCTGTAAAGACCTAAGCAAAGTAACAGAGCAAAGTAAACCTGGTAGAAGATCATTCCAGGCAGAGGGAACGTCAAACGAGAAAGCACCGTCATGCTGAGGAACACTAAGGGGTCAGATGTGGTTAGAGCCCAGAGAACACGGAGAAGTGGAGGTCGATGTGCTGGGGAGTTAACAGGGCCCTGACCTTGACGGCCTGGTCAATCAGGGTAAGAACTGTCTTCTGCTTTTATTTATTTACTTATTTTTTAATATTTTTCTTTATTAATTTTAGAGAGAGAGGAAGGGAGAGGGAGAGAGAGATAGAAACATCAGTGAGAGAGAACAGCAATTGGCCGCCTCCTGCATGCTCCCCACTGGGGATGGGGCCCACAACCTGGGCATGTGCCCTGACTGGGAATCGAACTGGCGACCTCTTGGTGCATGGGTCGATGCTCAATCACTGAGCCACACCGGCTGGGCTGTCTTCTGTTTTTTAAGTGTCATTCTGGTTGCTGGTCCATGAGATGTGACATGTGTGAGAAAGAGAGGAGCCAAAGGTAAGTCTAAAGGTTTGGGCTGAGCAGGTGTGTGGGTGGAGACAGGAAATCTGGGGAAGGAGGAGTCAGAAAAGAAGGCCAGAAGTTCAGTTTTAAATGTAGGTTTGAGGTATTTGTTAGGAATACACATGGAAGGTTGAGTAGGCTACTGGATAGGAGGGTCTAAGGTTCAAGGAGAGGCCAACTTGATAACAATTTAAGGGGTCACCAGCCTTGAGCTGGTCATTAAAACCAAGGACTAAACAGTGACTGGAAGAGGTTAGGAGGTGGGAAGAAGATTCAGAGGAGGAAACCAGGAGTCCACCACGTGCACAAACTACAGGGGATTTTTAGGGAGAGACCGTGGTGGGCTGTCCCTAATACCGCTGAGGTTCAAATAAGACGGGAATTGGCCACTGACTTTCAGCAAGAGGTGATTAACCTCTTTGACACAGAACAATTTCTCAAAGGAAAGACAGAGAATTAGGGTGGTAGAAAGAAATGAAATGGAATTCATGAGGTTTTTTTATAAATAAAAAGGGTGAAATAACAGCATGAAATGAGGTGAGAAAAAACACCATTGGGAGTTAGAGGGCTGGTTTTGAAGGTTTGGGGGACAGAGTCTCTGGCATAAAAGGGCTTGGTCTTCGTGCAAGTGGGAAGTTTACTCGTTTACAAGGTATACCAGGCCCGTGGGCAGTGTGGAGGAAGGAGCTCGGGGGAGTTTTCTTTCGATTGCTTCAATTTTCTGACCGTAGGAAGCACGTTCATTAGCCGAGAAAAAGATGCAGCTATTTGAGGTCTGTGGAAACAGGAGGCTTGGTCTAGTCGCTGAAGAGAGTGTGGAAATTATAATTAGGGGAATGTAATAAATGGCCAGGCAATAGTATGGCCACACTAGAGGTTAGTAATCATACATTTACAAGGATCTGCTTGGTCCATCATTTGCCTTAGTTCCAGGCTGGGTACCGAGCTCATGATTTAGTTTGCTAACCACTAGCTGACTTGAGGCATCATTTAAAAGTCTGAGTAACTCAGTTACCTCACCTATAATATTTACCTCACCAAAGGGTTGTAACGGTTAAAAATACTAAGACTGTAAAATATTAAGAATAGTGTCTGGTCCCTGTAGACACTAGATAAATCTGAAATTTAAAAAAATAAAAGTAAATCTTTAAATTTGGGAGCTTTGAAATATTTCATCTTTAAATCTATACTCCAACACATCCAAAGAAAATGCATATATCATAACAAAATACACATGTTTAGAAATAAAACCGAACTTACTAAGTATAATAAGATAAAGTGTTTCTAGTGAAGCTTCCGTCTTAAATTTGAATCTTTTATGACAAAGAGTGATGAAAAATTAGATTCAAATTCTCATTTCAAGAGAATTATAGCCCAATTTACACATTTTCTGAGAAGTCATGAAATATATGATTCACATAAAGCATAATTAGAGGGAAAATTACCAGAAGAATATTCCTTATAAAATGGCATATATAGAAGCAGTAATTATGTACATATACTAGCACTGCAACCTCTCTGGAAAGTAATTTGGCAATACATAGGACTTAGATCTCTATGTTTTGACCTGAACAGATGTTCAGAACATATTTAAAAGTAGAAACATCAGTATTTCAGAAAATATTTGCATGATTATGAAGATACAGAATTATGCTCACCCAACTATTTACAATGGCAATGAGAACTCTGTGTTTTTATGTACTGTGTAATTAATCATAATGTAACAGTACTATTTCATAATAAAACAATAACAACATATGGAAAAATAAAGGCAAATGCCAAGTTGCATGAAAATACTTAAGATATAAAAAAATTAAGATGTATTTATAGCTTTGACTTTGTAGTTTCCTTTCTAGAAATCTCAAGCAAGAAAATAACATGAGCAAAGAATTCTGTGAATATATATTAATCACAGGGTCATTAATATATTGATAAAGTTGGAAAAAAGTGAGGTGTACAACCATTGTTATAATAGAGCACATCAATATTATAAAAATGCCACGGATACAACAATAACATGAGTGTCTGTGGGTAGTTAGTTTATTAGCTAGGTTATGGTTTTCTGAATTATCCAAATTTTTAATATAAATTAGAATAATTTTAAAAATAAAATATGTTATTTTTACAATTCCTAAATCATTGCTGAAAACCTAACCAATAATCGAATAGAAAAAAATTTTTACAGTGTGCAATTAATCAAGTTATTACTTGTTAAAGATGTATCAAGTTTTGTGGAATATATATGTTTACATGTAAAACTAATTTAAGTAGGCTTTTGTATACATTATTGCAAACACTTACACATCATGATGTGCCTTTCTATTTACCTACTTAATTTATATAATCTTTACCATAACTCTTAAGGTAGAGTATATACATACATACATGCATACATATATTGTATTTTTAGAATCCAGAAAATAAAAATTAATTTTCTAATTAAATGCTACATGTCACATCAAAGAAAATTTCACAGCTATAAATAAATATTTACAATTCAACACATTATAAAATACTTGGTATTTTTAGGGCTTGGGACACCATAATTCCACCATTTGCTGGCCAATTATCATATACTTTCTGCATTTTCTTTAAATTAATAAGAAATAAAATTGCCGTACTGGTCTAGGATGCCTTGTGTGGCCAAAGCCTGGCTGGGCTCCAGAGGCCTTCCATTCACTGCAAACTCCATGACGCACCCGACAAAGTCATGGCTTTCCACGTGCCCTCTCCTCTGGAGAACTGGCTCCAGGGATCGGATACCTCCGACTGTGACTCGATTGGGCTGAACGTCAAGAGTCCTCCATGAGAAAGAAAAGTACATTAGTACCGACATGACAGATTTCAGTAGAATGTTTCGTTTAAAAAAGAGCGTGGATAACGTTTCTGGCACACGTTACAGCATGGCAACTCTTAGTGGAAAATGCCACCCGTGAATGACTGTCCACCAGACAGACACCTACAGGATTATTTAAAATCTGAATAATAATACAACGTATGGAAATGGTATTTTCAGTGGGTCAAATAGCCTGTACGTAACAATGTTGAATTAGCAAGGAGCACACTAGCAGAAAGAAGATAAAATGCGTTAGGAATAATAACAACTCTGATAGTAATGCCAGATTATGTTTTTCCTTCTCTATAGAGATGATAAGGAATGCCAGTAAGTTGATTAATGCAATGGATTATGTGCCACTGTTTATTTTTCTAATTGTTAATATTTCTATAAAAACCCCTTATGTGTTTTTTTTTTTCCCCCCAAAAAATATACTTTTTATTTTTCTTGCCTTATTGCACTGGCCTAGGACATTGAAAAGAAGTAATAAAGAGGACATCTTTACCATATTCAAAATAGTAGAGAGAAGCATTCAGTCTTTTACCATTAAATATCATGTTAACAATAAGATGTTATTTATCAGATTAGGCTAGTTTCCTGTGTTCTTAATTTGCTGAGTTTTTATAATGAATGGATGTTGAATTTTGGCAATGCTTTCTGTGCATCTGTTGAGTTGAACATGTGGTTTTCCTTTAGTCTGCTGATACGGTGAATTCTGTTGGCTACATTTTGGATGTTAAACCAGCTTTACAGTCCCAGGATAAATCCCACTTGATCACAAGACATTATCTGTCTTTTACATGTTGCTGCATTAAATTTACTAATACTGTGTGAAGGACTTTTTACATTTATATTCATGAAAGATGTTAAATTCTTTTTTTTTTTTAATCACTTATATTTTAGATGGGTAATGCTGTACTCTAGTTTGAGGTGCTATTGAAAAATATCTGTTGGTACTTGTCACATACAGTGTTCAGAGAATGTGTTCAAAAGGGGTGGGGTCCTCATCCTAACCTTGGAGGACCCAAATCACATGCAGCTATTGCACAAAGCTTCTGAGAGCACAGGCTATGTTCACCTCCCCTCTCTGCAGCTGTCTTCTTATCACTACCACTTCATTTCACACCTTTTTAAAGCACAGTTTGTATACTAATTATTAACTTTTTATTTTACAGTTCAAAAATCCCTTTGGAAAGGATGAAATATCTCACACGTTTATGTACTATGTAGCTTAATAAAATTACTTTCAACGGTGTCGTTTCCTTGGTAATGTCAAGTAATAATAGAGATCAAACTAGTACTTTTACCTACCAGTCATCCGAAACGGCCACGTTGCTGACCGTGCAGTATCCTGGTTCCTGGTTCTCCGAACAAGAGTCCACAGTTAAGGAAGCTGCCTGTACAGCAAGAGAAGAGAACATTCACCTGGGTTCCTCCCGCCCACAGTGTCCTTTGCAGCCAGCACTGCCCGGGGCTGGTTTCTATGTGGCCATGATTTCGAAATTGCGACAACATTTTGATTCCGTACAATAAATGCAATGCAATCGTAAATTATGGACACGTAGTTCTTTGATATTGCTAAAACTGAAATCGTGAAAGAACTGCATGTAAAGGGTAGGAAGGTGTTCTGAACAATCTTCTTCAGCCCCCTTGTCTTATAGACAAAGAATCAAAATGCCATTGAATCTCTTAGAGTATTACATGGAGGGTGTGAGGCAGCTCCCTGGGGTTACCATCTTCATAAGCCGGTTTAGTCTACTATTTAGCTAGTTTAACAAATGAAAAAAATAAAAAACAGATTTGTTTTTAAAAAAGTCTTCCAATAATTTTTCAGGCACATATACAAAAAGGATTTGAAAGTACACAGCAATCTATGAAGACTGTGATACTTGTATTAAAGATAAAATTTGAGATAATGTAAAGAAATAAATTAGGTGCTCTTTACACTTTTAAGAATCATTCTTTATAAATAATATAGTACAGTGTAGCTATGTATAATCAGAGTGCATTATTATAGATTGCTCTACAGTCGGGACTCCCCAAAAATATTTAAGTCACAGCAAACAGCGCCTGTATTGCAGCCTAAGGGATGAGTTACCCTGGGACAAAGCCTTCTGTCTAGTAACACACAAGAATACTCCACTTGGTCAATAAACAAAGTCACCAATCATGGTCACAAGGCCCAAGAATATGACAGAGTCTGGCTCTCTACATTGTGCAATGACCATGAGGGTTGCCGGCGGTCCAGGTTAAGCCCAAGGCTGGGGCACATCCATGTTTTTCCAGCTCCACAGTGCAGGCGCCTTTGCCCCCCAAGCTACGGTAAGTTCTGCAAATGATAGGACTTTGCCTGTTTTATTTGGCGGAAGTGTAAGTATAATATTGAGAGTGTGGTATTTCAGAACAGGGTCAGTAGGTCACAGGAAGAGCCAGACCCCAACTCTAGGCGGACTGAGAGTTTCTCCCAATGCCAACACCAAAGGTTCTACCTAAATGTATTTGAGTACTGGAGCACAGGACTAATCCGACCTCGTCCTTTTCACAGCAGAAATATAAACACAGTCGACCCCTGAACAATGCAGTGGGTGCCGACCCCCATGAAGTTGAAAATCCACATATAACTTTTGACTCCCCCAAACTTAAACTGCCCCTTGGTCTCTGTGGGGGTGGTTAATTCAGGACCCTTGTGAATACCCAAATCAGTGGATGTGCCCTATATAAAATGGCACAGACCAATGAGTGCCGTCAGCTCTCTGCATACTTGGCCTCTTGATCCTGGGTCAAACAGTACAGGTATTTATTGAAAAAAAAAAAAAAATCCACATATAAGTGGACCCATGCAGTTCAAACCTGTGTTGTTCAAGGGCCAACTAAGCCACGTAAGTATTAATCTATAAGAATGGTTATCGCTTGAGGTTACTTTTAATAAAAGCAGAGCAAGTGTAAGAAACAGCACAGGGAGGTCATGCAATGACCCACACTCCCTGCTACCTACCTGCCGTGTCTACCTGGTTTGCGATCTATCTTCCTGAATCAGGTCCCTTTAGTTATATATAGAAATGCTTCATTTCCTTAATATCCCATTTTTATTAATATTGCATGATTTTGAGGAACTGTCCATATAACTTAGATGGGAGATTTGTGAAGGTATATCTTAAATACCTTACATTTCAGCAATAATGAACGGGGCCAATGTAGAGTTCTTATGCATCAAATATTACAGGCTAAAGTATTTTAAATGATTTCTATCAGTTAACTACTTTAACTTATTATAAGCTCCATAAAATGAACTCTCATGAGCCATATAAATTTTTTCCTTTCCACCTTCTCAAGGAAATCATAATAAAGACTAACATTTTTAGGAAACATTTACACTTCTAATTCTATGTCCAGACTTTTTTTTTTTTTAATGTCCCAATTAGCTACCTCTTTCAATAATTAACATTTTTTTCCAGTGCTCTATAAAATTGAGTAATATTAATCTCAAAGGCAGAATTAGGGTTTCATGAAACAATTTATGTAGTTTATGTAGACTATTTGATTTCTAAAGCACACTATTAACACATCTCCCTTTGTGTATACGATGCAAATTATCAATCATTTCAGAGATCCCTAAGGCAATAATAAACTCAGGTGTGTCACGTGGATATTTATAAACGTTTCAACTAGGAAAACACAACTTAGATAATGGTATCATATTTTAGTCAAACTTAATATTTAAAATATTTTCTTCTCATTTTCTGTTTGGTGATACAGCTCAAAGAAAAAACACCTGAAGGCAAGTTTTATTTGAATAGTAGCTCACACAATCTGCTCTTCAGAGTTCAATGCACCTTCTTTCTGGTTGACTTTTTCTACCAGTACCGCTGTAAACTGAGAAGTTTCTATCCTGTCAATGAAATGATTCAAAGCTGAGATGATGATTTTGCCAGTTTCCAGCGAAATCCTTTTGAACTGCAGAAAACAGATTCAAAATCCAGTAGGGACCTGATTTTGGATATTTTCTGAAATAGGGAAATTTTTCCTTGGACCGAAGTAACAAGGACAAGGTTGTTTTCCCGCAGTTAGTATCATTCCAAACCTCATGACTGGCCACCTAGCCCAAACTCTCCCCCTTGGGCAGACCACATGGCACCCTGCTCTTGGTTCTCCCTCTTGCTCCCGAGCCCTTGTGTGATAGGATCAAATGTTCATGAACTTTACAGGGACCTGTGTTACATATGCTCTGATGAGTGGGGTGAAGTGGGATCTACCATCCCCTATTAGGGTCACCTGTTCGTAACGGGACATCACCTGTGCCTTACCATTCCTGCTCTCCGGGCAATCACAGTGTGAAAATGTCCATCCGACACCTTCTTCATGGTGGTGAGTTTGTAGGTGCCGCTGCCTAGGTTGTAAGAGAATCTTAGTCTTTCTTCAGCAATTTCAAGGGCCAAAAACTCAGCCCGGTCCCCTGTCTGATTGTCGTAGTTGTAAAGCAATAAAGCATGACTTTTAATCGTTGCAAATTTGACATAAATATAGTTGTTGTTGGGGTCCAAGCTGGGAAATTCCATGTATGATAACTCCTCAAATCCGTAACTATTCAACTCGCAGTGTTTTCCAAAGACACCTGGAGATGGAAAAAATTGACAAATTGACACGTCAACTTCCAGTGACGTCTTAGTAAATGACTTTGATTAAAATGCAAAAATTAGTCACACTTACAACATTGTTATTACTCTCCAAAGAATACTATCTAAATTAAATTGCAATAGAATGAATTGATGATCTTTAAAACATATCTCAGAGATGATGAGCTGGTTTAATTGCTTTTCTTTGGCCAATTAGGAAACATATCGAAGTAGGGATGCCCCATTTCTGAAAATTAGAATTAGTGGTATGAAGTATGTCCGAAAGATTTCTTTCCGTGAAATCTTTCAAAAGTAATGGGTCAATCTTTTTTAAGTTTTACTATGCTGGAATTTTCAAACAAGACATTTCCTTCATAATATATAATTCTTAAATATAAAATTCTTAAATTCTTAAATAAATTCTTAAATTCAATTGAGCATGATATATCGTGTTTTGACTTAAAAAAATCAGTTCCTGTATTTGTGGTATTTTCAAGATTCACGAAATTAGGGAAAGGAATATTGCTTTTAGGGAGTGATTGTCTTAGGTTTTATCTCTTCTTTGTTTCATACCCACGTTGGGTATGATTTATACCAGGCTACTTAGAAATAGCTTTCTGTTTTTTTTCCCCCCAAATCCAGCATTCCCATTTGTTTGTGCTGGTTCCTTTTCAAACTTGAAAAATGAGTTTTATTGATGTTACAATGCTATGCCAAAATTCTTTTCCCACAAATATTAGTAGACTGTAGCAAATGATTGGAAAATTAGCCCATGCCAATACACCATGACTCCTATTTGCTCACAAAGGTTCCATTCCTTAATTTGGGCTGCGCATCTCTTGTAAACGCCTTGCAGTCAGAGTCCGGGAACTGTAGCCAGGAGGAGCCAATGCCATCATTCTGCAGAACATTTAAAACTTGCCCAAGGCCACAGGACCATGGGATTCCGAGCCAACATCTGAGGCCAGATCTACTGATTGTCTGCTTGTTTAGCTGTACCACATATTTTGTATCCAAATGTTGTTTAAATTAAAACAGCTTAGTAGTTGCTATAAAAGTGTGTGTCTGTTATCCTTTCTTTTTCTGTCAAGGCTGAAGTAATACTCATTGTGAAAGAGTAGAAATACATATAACTTCTTTTTAATCATTAACTGAAGTTAAAGAAAAGGCAGAGGAATTATTGGAATTATATATTATATATCATATATTATATATGGCATACATTTATTTATATCATATAGCATTTATACTTTATGTTATATCTATGATTTATATTCATATACAATAAGATTCTTAAATGTATATACATTAACTTTTATTATATTATATATACCTTATATATGTAGAAGGAGTAACCAAAGTTACAGAAAAAGCAAAGATAAAACACACAAATTAAATAGATATTGCAGAAAACCTTTACTATTTGTTTCCTCAGGTCTCTTCTGATTAAATTTTAATAAATCTATGAAAATGTGCTTAAATTGTATATTCATATATGTAGAAAGTATATAGATCCCAGAAAAATGTTCTATATTTTAACTGAAATCAATACTGTATATTCAAACATAAAAATATTTCTTCGTGGAGTACTTTTTTCCTTTTAAGGAGTTTTGTTATTTTTTCTACAGAAAATTACATTTTTGTTCTTGAAATATAATAACATTGAATGAGGATTTAAAAGCTGCCTTCCAGCTGAAATGCTACAAAATAAACCTACATAAAAGTCACGGGCAATTATTAAAATTAACCTAATAAGGGATATTGTGTATGTGTGTATATATATGAAGTTATACATATATACATATATATGAAGCTTTAATTATACAGGCTGTCTTTATAAAAGTTTTAAGCACTTTGTTTTTTTTCATAAATATAATCTAAAAATACCGCCATCCAACAGGCCATGACTGCTGTACCAGCTAAATGCAGCAATAATTTGTTCCTATTTAGCATCAATTATCTTAAATCTTCATATTTGCAATTGGAATGCAAAGGAGTCTCTAAAAATGTTAACAACCTTTGTTCAGTCTCTTGAAATCATTTTCCCACTTTCCACTCCAACAGCCTTATCTTTTATTCCAAAACTTAAGTTAGCCCATGAAACCTGGTTGTGGTTATGCGTGAAAAGCAGCACCCTTTGGGATTATAAGGTATCGCTAAAAGAAAGAAGTAGTAGATGTAACAGTGTGCTTATTTTACCCTAATCTACCTTTCTCTGTTGGTGAGGATCTCAAAGAAAGGTCACAAAGGAGCGATAATGTGAATGTTATACTGGACTGAAAATAAAATTTTCTAGTCGCTACATAACATTGGGGTGGCTTTCATCTTTGATTCTAGACAAAAACCTCAATGTCGGGGCCTCAGAACTACTGCGTGGCTCGCAGTTAGATGCACCGATGTTCACTATCATTCTATTGATGTGCTTTATAAACACACAACTCGACAGAGTCATCAACTTATTTTAAAATGGATCAGTACATTTCACTGGTTACTAGAAACCTCAGATTAGTTTTAAGTTCTATTCTCTACTATACACTAAGATTCACTTTTCAGGTCCACAGTGATATGGTCAAGGACAGACCAGAAAAATCTCCTTCTCCTCTTTGGCTTATAGAGTCTCTAACTACTGCAGGTCACTGTAGTGTTCACTCAGTGTGGGGAAAGTCAGCCTTTAAATCAATGGAATGATCACGGACCTAGGAGGCAAACCACGTTCAAACGAAGGTTTCCTCCCAAGCTTTTCGCATAGTCCTTGGCTGTCTCCGTGCTGGGCAACATTTGAGTGACACCTGGAAGGAACCCTTCAGTTCATCTCACTATGGAGAATGTAAGTGTAAGTGTACAGATAAACTGTAACACTTCTCTGCCTCAAAAGAACACATTAGCCTGAATTTGGATGAGTTCGGTTGACACTCTCTACAAAAAGTCCATCGTGAAAACTGCATGGCTCGTTACTAACTCCGTATAACACAAGTGGATGAATTAATGTAAAAAAAAAACAACAAGCAAAACCAAACAAAAATCATTTTGACGGATTCTTTTTAAAGATTCAAAATAAAGAATGATGTTAAATAGTGCCTGAAACATTTTTTTACTTGATAGGTTCTAGGCTGAAAAGAAGGCGTCTATAAATACTTGAGGGCAGATGTCCAGAGAACATGACATCAAATTCAATTATCTTCAGTTGATTATTGTTCCAGTAATGATCAAAGCAATAGAATCAATGGGATTTCCATAATTAACTTCTAAGAAGATCAAACCTTTGAGATTTTATTGTGCCATAACCCCCCGTGTAAAACAGTTCACGTTTTCTTAATCATTCGGGGCCACGATGAAACCAAACTGCTAAGCTGTGAGTCAGAGGGGACGGATGGTTTCTCCGGCTGGCGGAGCCGAACTCACCGAAGGGACAGTGGCAGTAGTAGGACTCCACGCCACTCTGGCAGGAACCCCCGTTGAAGCAGGGGTTGCATTCACAGTAATTGACCGGAGACTCGCACATTTTCCCTGGAAAGCATCAAACTCATTAGACAAAATCTTACGCGTGAGTCCATCAACACCACCACTGCATAACCATACACAGACATCCCTCCTGAGAGACTCTCTCCTTGAAGCAAAGAAACATGAGACCATCTCACTTGACAGGAGGAACTGGACTATTCGCTCCGAGTTCAAAATCTTACTGAGTTATTCAAAGACACACATCCTAATGGAATATTTAGGAAATAATGTACATGCACATTGTGGAAGGAAGTGCTGTGTTCAGGGGAATCACGAATGGTGAACACGTTTAGATGTTTCCACTAGTTTTTTTTTTCCTCCTTGATGTCTCTACCTTTTGTACATGTTATAATCGCAGAGGTGAACTTTTCATGGGATCACTTTCACTGTGATTTCCTTGGCTCAGCTTTGTTAAAAGTAATCAATCTCACTTAGCCTGTGGGTCACACTACAACCTTTCACTCTCAAGAAATATCCCCTGCCCCCAGCCCTGGCCCATTTAGCTCAGTGGTTAGAGCATCGGCCCACAGACCAATGAGTCGTGGGTTCGATTCTGGTCAAGGGCACGTACCTCGGTTACAGTTCGACCCCGGCCCTGGTCGCGGTCCTGTAGGACTAATGCGGGAGGCAGCCGGCCAATGTGTCTCTCTCACATAGATGTTTCTCTCTCTTTCCCTCTGTTCCTCCCTCTCCTTCCCACTCCATCTGAACAAAAACAGAAAAACCTCCTCAGGTGAGGATTAAAAAAAGTGATCTGTTATAAAAGAAGAAGCAATACCCCTCACTTCATGCTGCCTACCTGTCGTAGAGCCAAATGAGACAGAAGAAAACACATCCAATACACTTTCACAGACCAGACTTATTCTCAACGACGGCTTGCGACTACTTCGTCTTTTTCTCAAAATCAGTGATACCTGACCAGCATATTTTCCAGTTCATGCAGACTTGTCTGGGATATTATCTGGTGAAGTTGAATCAACTAATTCTGCCTGAGCGCTCAGAATGAAGCAGGCAGAAGAGGGAGACATTTCAGTCAAGGACGCGGACGAGTTTCTTCAGTGTTTCCACGTTAGTGGGGGAAAGGGCTCACTGAAGAGGACACATGTCCATCCACAGATGAAGGAGGAGTGGTCCTTGGAGGCTGACACCTCACCGAAGCAATGATAACACTGAGCACAGACCAGCGTAGGCCTGCACTCATATCCAGGTCTACAGTCACCACTGAACAGGCAACATGTAAGGCAGAAGGCCAGTCCCTCTTGTTTCTGTGGTGGTGGGGTGGTATTCTTTTCCCATGTAAACTTTAATGTGTTTTAACACCACTAAATTACGATTTGATAAATTACATATTATTATTAGATGTACATTGCACGTAATTATTAGAACAGTTTCAAGTGTTCTGATTCTAAGAAACAATCTTAATTTCCACTCATGGACAGGAGGGTTTAATTATTTACTTAATTAAGTGGAGTTTGTTTCTGTAGAGTGATTTTCTCCTTCCCAGTGTGACGGCGCTGATGCGCACACTCACTGTCTCGTGACACATGTACGTTTTATGTGCACGCTTAGACTTAACGTCGAGCACCGATCATCCATTTCATCATCATAACTGCTTAAAACACAGTCAAAGTTTCTGTGTAATTCAATTCTGTTCTTGTGGCTTGATTATGTAGCCACAATAGTTCTGGTTTGAAATTACAAGTGTGAGTCAGACCTCACGACATTGCTAACGAACATGTCCCTCTACATCATGGGGTCATAAACATACCACGTCCCCCTTTATAAGTAAAACTGGGAATCTCCTTAAAAGGCAAAACAGTGACAATTTCAGAAAACCTTCGTATTCTAAGGGGAAGTAATGAAAATAAACGAGTTACCAAGAGAGAAGCACAGAAATGAGGAGGTAAATATTGCAGTCATGTGTTCTGGGAGAAACAGGCAGGACAATGTCACCCTGAGTATGTGCAAGGTGTCACAGGGGCAGACACTGTGGAAAAGGAGACTCCCTCCCGCGGTGTTCTTAATGGAATATCAGAATTGCCCCATGGAAAGCAGATACAACCTATTGGCTACACTTTCAATTATCTTTTTGCCACAAGGAAAGCCACAACCTACTTCTACCATTTTCTTCCCCGTGTAAGAGCTTACGTAACTGTCTCAGGTGTTACTGGACTACGTAAGCTTTCATATTCTTTTCTGGAAAATTCTTTGTGTAGCATGTATTAAATACATACTCTTTTTCTTTTAAATATTTTTTCCTTATTGATTTTTTTTGGGTTTTTTTTGAGAGAGAGGAAGGGACAGGGAGAGACAGAAATAGAAACATCGATGAGAGAGAAGATCAACTGGCTGCCTCCTGCACGCCCCCCACCCCCAGGGGACCAGGCCCACAACCTGGGCATGTGCCCTGACTGGGAATCAAACTGGCGACCTCTCAGTACATGGGTCAACACTCAACCAGTGAGCCACACTGTCCGGGCTTAAATACATACTCTTTTAACCTAAATGTTAGTGCATTGAAGAACTTTTCTGTGACCCCTCAGACTACGAGGTCCTGTTCTTACAGGTTCTCAGAGCATCTCCTGGTGAAGTTTCCAGCACTGCTTTCAAGGGTACAGTTGCATTGTTATAACTACGAGATGACTTGTGCAATATCTTCCCTGTTTGGGTGGAGGATCCAGGATGACGTTCAGTGGGTGCTCCACAAATATCTGTTGAATGAATGAGCCTTTGAATATTTGCCTAGGAAATTCATGGGAGAAGCCAAAACATTTTCCACCTGGAGAACAGGTTGGATGGGTAAGTGAGGCCACTTTTAGGGAGCTCTGCACACCCATCTGAGTTGATAGAACTGAAAGTACCAGGGATTTCTGGGTCCTTAGCATGGACATAATTAAAGGGGCAATGTACCCAAATGTAAATTCAGTTTCGGTTATAGAATGACGTGTGGGCAGAACAGTCTAGATCGGGTATTTTGCTGAATAGAGAGATTCTTGGCTTCTAGTCCCCCTTCTCCAAGTCTGTTTCAGTCTAGGACCACGGCTACCAGTCACACGTGACTCGTTAGCACTGAAATGTGCTGGTCTGATGTGAGACACGCTGCAGTATAAAATACCAGGTTCTGAAGACTTAGTATAAAAAATAAAGTACCACAGAGATACATTTTTAAACTGGTTACTTATTGAAACTGTATTTTACATGAATTGCAATGATTAGTCCCTGGCAGCTTAGAGTCGCCAGCGTTGGCTCAGTTTCTACAACATAAAATAAGAGTAAGAGCCGTGTCTCTCTACGCCAGATATTGTCTGCCGACTCAGCACCATCTCTCTCTGTGTTGCAGGGGCTGGAAGTTGGAAAACTGACTTCTCCAGACTCCCTTCCAGCCGGGGCTCGCCTTTGGATCCCGTCAGTGGACTTTCCTGACCTCCACTCTTAGCCAGTGTGAAGACTTTGTAAGCTATTCCCGTGTACTCTCTACCTTCCCACCGGAAAATCCTAAGGTGATTTCAGTTCCTGAGCAGTCTCCGACTAATCCACGATCTCGTGGACTTTCTGTGAGGACCAAATAGGAAACTGCACAGAAAACTCTTAGACGGTATCAAGGACTTGCCAGTATACTGTGCAGCAGTGCACATGGAAGTGTGAGGGGTGTGCATGCACACGAGAAGCCAAGGGCCTGGAGCCAGCTTACAGCCAACCCAGACGGGTTTTTAGCCCGTCTCTGTGCCACCTGGAGGCAAGTCATTTCATTCTTTCAGTCCCTCTGAGACTCATTCATTTTTGTCTTTGAAATGGCAATACTCGTAATATTCATTTCTCAGGGTTGTGAGAAGAACTCACTGAAGGTCGATGACGCAAGGAGCTTTGGGTGGTACTGAGCCATTGGATAAATGTCATTCATATTTCATAATGAAAGGGGCATTCCTGAAATTTTCGACCACTGATTTAGAAAAGTCTGCTAAGTGTATGAGAGGAAACGAGAAAGACCCAGTAAGAGGAAGTGAGCACCATTCACGCTGAAATCTGCACATGGCGTCGTGGCTGGGGCCCGTGTGCCCTGATCCCTGTCTGCTGCCGACTGCATTCACGCCTCTTCCATGCCAGGGCTCGGCGTGAGCTCTCCAAATCTAAGCGAATGAGTCTATTATACTGAAATGGGACAAAGAAACAATCTTCATTGTTGCATTCCCAGCAGAAGCAGCAGCTTTTTTTGTGGGGGGAGGAGATTTTTGGAAATCCTGACCTCATGACATGTGTATAGCTTTATTATTCATGATCCTAAGACTCCCACTTGCCTGGTGTCATTGAGGTTTCTGGTCTTCTGAGCAATTCTGTGGCTCACCTCTGTTACCACCACAGCTCCGCTAACACGACTAGGAACACTACTGGTTGCCATCACTACTTACTGCTGGGTTCGGTGCCAGGCGTTTTACAAACATTATTTTACTCATCACAACAACCCAGAGAGGTAAGTGTGACTATTCCCATTTCACAGAGGGGGAACTTGAAGGTCAGCAAGGTTAGGTGACTTCCCAAAAGCGTACACTCTGGAATTCACTTACACCCTGACTCTCTAACAAATGCACTGAGTCCCCTTAGAAAACCGACTAAACGTGTCTCTACTTCAGGCTCTTTGTCCACAAAGACTGAAAAATAATTATCCCCACCACCTAGGTTTCTTATGAGACATAAATGCAGAAAGGGCTTGGCATAGTATCTGGCCAATAGTAAATGCAATTTTTTATTTTTATTTTTTGGTTAATCCTCACCCAAGGACTTTTTTTTCATTGATGTTTAGGCAGAGTGGAAGCAACAAGAGGGGGGAGGAAGAGAGAGAGAGAAACATTGATGTGAGAGAGACACATCAATTAGTTGGCTCCCACGTGTGCCCCAACTGGGGCCGGGGATCACACCTGAAACACAGGTAAGTGCCCCTGACCAGGCATCAAACCCACAACCCTCTGGGGCATGGGCTGACACTCTGACCACTGAGCCACAGCAGCCAGGGCAATAATAAATGCTATTTTCAATTAAAAAACCCCTTGCGAATGACAACATTCATTACTCCCTCCCTCTCATGCCTGACACGGCCAAAGTCGTGGTGAGAAGAGCCAAGCACCATACCTGTGAATCCAGTTTTGCACACGCAGCTGAAGCTTCCCGGGAAGTTCTGGCAGAGGGCACCGTTCTTGCAAGGACTGGGCAGGCACTCGTTGATGTCTCTCTCACAGGCCCTGCCCGTGAAGCCATCCGGGCAGCTGCAGGAGAACCCGCCCACCAGGTTGTGGCAGGTCCCGCCGTTGTGGCAGGGGGCCGGGAGGCACTCGTCGATGTCCACTTCGCACCAGCTCCCAGCGTAGCCCGGCAGACACCTGCACAGGAACGGCCGCAGGGCTTCGTTGGCCACGATGATGACCGGAAGGCTCTCGTGGCTCCTGACCTCGGGGCTCACAGCCAGTCTCCTGATACAGCTCCCTCCGTTCTGACACGGGCCACGGGCGCACGCGTCGTGATCCACGGACTCCACCTGCACCCCACTCTGCCGGAGGAGGATCTCCTTGATGCTTTCGAAGAAGGTGGCCACCCCGCTGGGATTCACATACTGGTTACCGCCCCGCCTCACCGCTGCCAGGAGAAAGGTCCGGTTGCTCTCTTCGTAGGCTCCGTAGAGCTGCACGGCCGTCCCCAGGCCCGCGAGCTGGGCACCTGTGATGCGCAGGAAGTGAAGGTAGTGGTTGGTCAGGAAGTCCGTCACCGTCGGGACACTGAGCCGCAGCAGGATGCTGCTGTCTATGGTGGCGTTGGAGAACCCCGAGAAGAACACGCGGACGCTGCTGGTGACCGCGCTGTGGACTCCGTCACTGCTGAGCACGGTCAGATCGAACGTGCCGTCTGTGGACCTCGGCTGGGAGCTCAGATCACAAGTGCCCCTGGGCACGCTGAAGAGGCTCGTCACTCCCGAGGTGAGGGAGCAGTGGAACGTGTCCAGCACGTCCGCATCCTGTGGCTTCACGGAGCCCAAAATCCCACCAGGAAACAGGTTGCCATAATAATAAACAAATATCTCCACCGTCCGAGACTGGGAAGGGTTGTCGTTTTGGTCGATCACGGTGATGTGCACCGTTCCTGTGGAAGACATCTGAGGGACGCCAGAGTCCCTGGTGACCACCGACAGGTCGAAGTTGGCGATCTGTTCCCTGTCGATCTCCCTGGTGGTGCTCAGAACCCCGGCGGTGTTCAGACTGAAATAATTGGTGGCAGGACCCGTGCTCAGCAAGTAGTAGGTAAAGGGGCCTTGGTTGGGAGGGAGGTCGGGGTCGGTGGACTGGAGGGTCATCACCAGAGTTCCCGGGCGTTTGTTTTCCATGACTTCTCCCTCGCTGACGGTCAGCATCGGCCCGTTGTCGTTGATGTCTTCCAGGGTGACTAATAGCGAGGCGCTTCCTGTGGCTGAGGGTGTCCCCGAGTCAACAGCCAGCACCGTGAGGTTGTAGACAGGGAGGGTCTCGCGATCTAACTCTGCAGTCACGGTGATCTGCCCCGTCTGTGGGTTGATGGAAAAGGCTCCGTTTTCATTCCCTGATCCGATGAAGTAAGAGAACCGGCTCCAGCTGGGGACGGAGTCAGAGTCAAAGGCACTGACAAAGGTCACATGCGTTCCCGTCGGGACCCCTTCGCTGATCTGAACACTGTAGGTGCTTAGACTAAAAATGGGTGGGTCATTGGCATCGAGCACGGTGATGTTTACCGTGACCTCATCTATGTCTGCACCCCGGATGCTGCCGGAATTCTTGGCCAACACCTTCAAAGACACCCTCTCTTCTTTCTCTCTGTCCAGCGGTCCCGAGACAGAGATCTGCCCAGTCTTCTTGTTGATCTGGAAACCTTTCTTCCGACTGTTCCCGAAAATCAAGTAGTGCACCTCCCCGTCGGCGCCCAGATCCCGGTCACTGGCAAACACCTCTCCAACAATCGTACCTCTAGGGGCTGCCTCTGAGATCTCAAAGTAGTAGAGTTTGGAAACAAAACGGGGTACATACTCGTTCGTCCCCTGCAGCTGTATGGTGACCGTGGCAAAGCTGCACCTCTCCTCATCGGGGACGTTGAAGGCTTTCACGGTGAGGTGGTAGCTCTGCTTGGTTTCAAAGTCCAAGAAGCCTTGCGTGGTGAGGACTCCCGTGTTGGGGTCGATGACGAAGAGGTCACTGTCGGAGGACTGCACGGTGTACGCGATCACGGCATTGGGGCCGGAGTCCGCGTCGGTCGCATTCAGGTGGATGACTGTGGTCCCGCTCGGGGCGTTTTCCAAGACGGCAGGGAAGTACTCCTCGGGGAGGAACACCGGGGAGTTGTCGTTGACATCGAGCACGCTGACGGTCAGGCTGCAGTACCCGGTTCTGGCGACCCACCCGCCGTCGGTGGCGCTAAGCGTCATCTCGTGTTTCTGGCACAGCTCGTAGTCAAGAGGTTTGGCGAGGGTCAGTATTCCCGTGGAGGAATTGATGGCAAAGGTGCCGTCTTCGTTCCCTGAAGCGATGCTGTACCTGACCAGGCCGTTCATCGCCGCGTCTCTGTCTCTCGCGGACACCGTCCTGACCACGGCCCCAACCCCGTGGCTCTCAGGGATGGTGGCGGTCATGTGGCTTTGGGAGAACTCTGGAGTGTGGTAGTTTTCCTCCGTGACGATGATCTGAACAGTCGCTTGGGATGAAAGGGGAGGGTTCCCTTTATCCTTGGCAGTGACTGTGATCAAAAAGTTCTGGTTCAAGTTGGCCAGGAGGGAAGAGGCTACGGAAATCCACCCCGTGCTGTTGTCCAGCTTGAATTTCCCCCCGTGCTGTTCGCCGGAGATGAAATACTCCACCTCGGAGTTTAACCCGAAATCTTTGTCATCCACCGCCGTCACTTTGATCAGCTTGGTACCGACTTTCACGTTTTTGGTGACGGGGGTGAAATATTTCGTGTGAAGAAACTGCGGTGCATTGTCATTTCTGTCCACTATGTGGATGGTGACGGTTGTCTCGCTGAGGAGGGGAGGTGTGCCCCGGTCTGACGATGTCACTATGAAGCTCTGTCTGTTGATGTTCACGTTACTGAAGCCACTGACGTTCTGGTATTTCAAGATCTGCTTATTGAAAATCTCTCCTGTGGTGGCGTTAATCCGGAAGTACTCTGACTGAGACTTGATAAAATAAACCACTTGTCCGTTGGCACCCTCATCGGGGTCTGTGGCGGACACCTGGGTCACTCTGGAGCCAATCTCAACAAGTTCGGGGCAGTCTAAATAGTAGGAGGGCCTCCGGAATCTCGGGGCGTTGTCGTTGACATCGGTCACGAATATGGTGACGTCGGTACTGACAGTCCACCCGGAATCATGTGCGGAGACTCGGATTCTGTAACGGTCTGTATCCTCTCTGTTCAAAGGTCTGCTGATGACTATATCCCCCGTGCTGGGGTTGATGGTGAACGGAAGACTTGTGTCCATTATGGAATACCTACTCACTGCGTTCGCACCGACGTCTTCGTCGGAGGTGGTGACCCGGGTGACCGTGTAGCCCAGTGGGGAGTTCTCCGGAACGTGGGCACTGAAGATCTGAGAAAACCTCGGGGCGTTGTCATTCTCATCTAAAATGTGAATGATCACTTTCACGGAGGAGCTCTGAGACGGGGAACCTTTGTCCGAGGACCTGACGGTGAGCACGTACCGAGCTACCTTCTCCCTGTCCAGAGGCCGGATGCTTCTGATCTCCCCAGTGGCGTGATTGATGCTGAAACCGTGTTCTTTGTTGCCATGGACGATTTCATAGTCCAACTGCCCATTGGGTCCGCTGTCCTCGTCCGTGGCTGAGACAGTCAGTATTTTTCGAGGAGAAAGATTTTCCAGTATTTCGGCTACAAAGGGATCTTCCTTAAAGACTGGGGCGTTATCGTTGACATCTAGCACGGCTACGTCGAGTTTCTCGTAGGAGGAGAAGGGAGGGAAGCCGCCGTCTCTGGCCTCTATCCACACGACGTAGCTTTGCATCTTTTCAAAATCCAGAGGCTGGCTAATGGACACCTGCCCGGTCAAGGGGTCGATCTGGAAGGTGCCGCCCAGATTCCCGCTGGCGATGTAATAGGCCAAAGGCTCTCCGCGCAGGGAGGACCCCGTCACCGTGGTGACAGGGGTGCCCACCGCCTGGTTCTCCGGAAACATGAACGTCTGTTCTTTGGCTCTGACTCTGGGGAAATCCGCCCTGTTCGCAAACCTGACGGTCACCGTGGTGGCGTCTGTCTTCGGGAACGAGCCCCCGTCCTTCACGTGCACAGAGAAGGTCACTTCCGAAGCCCCGTCTAAGGGTCCGGCTGCCATGATGGCCCCCCGCAGCGGGTCAATGTGGAATTTCTCAGAGTTTCTCCCCGAGAGAGAGTAGTGCAGTTCGGAATTGGGTCCGACATCGGCATCCGTGACTGTGACCGCGAAGACGAAGGAACCTGCGGAAGAGGGAGCGGGCGTCAGAATGACAGGGACCCCAGCAGGAGGCTTGCAGCCGGGGAGCGCGTGCAAAACACGCTGTTCCCCCGGCCCGAATCGGGTTTCTCCCGACGGCTAGGGGAGCACAGCCCGCCCTCTCTGCTGTCCCTGCAGCTGCAGCATCACATCCACTTAACGACAGTCCCCAGGGACTGACCTGCCGTTTTCTAACCAAAGCTCCGCAGTCTGCGGACTGGATATCTTTCAGTCTGCCTTTGGGGGGAGCAGAGACAAGCAACAGCTGATCCCCGCACTGTGGTTCCTGGGGACATATCCGGCCCTCACCAGCTTCCAACCCAAGGGATGGTGCCGTGTGTCCTGCTCACAGCCATGCTGCTGCCCAATGGGAGAGGTAAGTGCTCTTTTATGTCTTAAAACATCTCTGAATTTCCATGTATATGATCGTGTCAACAAAAATAGCAGGGTGTGAAGATTACTGTGGATTCCTTATGCCCGCTGTTCATAGCAAAGTTCTTTTATCTGTGAGCTATTATCCCATGGAGACAAAACATAAGCACGCGTGCGCGCACACACACACACCAACTGGAACAGTTATAAAGTAGTAAGAAGTAAGAACTGAGAAAGAATGGACCACGTGGATTCCAAACCCAGGGCTTGGGAAGAGGGGCCAGTAGAGCAGACTGTGGGGCCAGACCAGGGCCGCCCGCAGGGCATGTGCTTGAGATCCTCATTCAGAAACCCTTCCCCAACCTGCACTCCCAGCCCTGCAGAAGAGTTTGTGACAAACTGAAAATTCTTCTATTTGAAGAAGGAGAAGAAAAAAAGGCAAGTGATTCTCGTTAGTTATGTCTAATGAGGAAAAGATGCAGGTGCGGCCCTTCCTCACTTTGCACAGAGATACAATGTTGCATCTCCGCAGACGGGATGTGACTGGAGTCCTGCCTGCCAACATCACGTCAGCTGTGGGCCTTCATCGGGGAGTTATGACTTTGGTATCGATGTTTCCTTCTGATAGAAAGTTGGCAAAATGTATGGATAGTATACCTTCAACTGGCATTAATGAGACATTCTTGAGTGCAGAGAAGATTAAAGATCACTGAGAGGAGGAATCCTGGATCCATTTATTATTTCTTTCTCATTAAAAATATTTTGAAGCAAAGAAGATTATAAATGCACCGTGCTCTTTATTTGTGCATATTCCCATTTGAAAACCCTTCTCAAAAATTGCAGATGGCAGATGATGTGTGCAGTTCTTAGGAGAGTATGCCATTCTTTGCAAATAAGCGAATGCAACCAAATTAAATTTAAAAGAGATGCAGAATGATAAATATATGTTGTCAACATGAGGGTGGTTCATTAACAGCTCCATAAACTTACTAACAAATAAACTTGCATCCCTGAAAACTGGAATAAAATTATGCTAATGATAATTAATTAGAATTGTTCATTCATTGAACATTTTTTAAAAATCTATTCTTTGAGATGACATGGAGGGACCTGGAGAGTATTATGCTGAGTGAAATAAGCCAGTCATAGAAAGACAAGTACCATGTGACCTCACTTATAGGTGGAATCTAATGAACAAATTAAACTGATGAACAAAATAGATCCAGAGAATGGAATTAGGGAACAGACTGACAAACCCCAGAGGGAAGGGGGTGGGGGGCGGGAAGAGATGAACCAAAGAACTTATTTGCATATACACACAACCCATGGACACAGACATCAGTGCCCTGAAGGAGGAAGGAGCGGGTAGGAGGGTGTCAATGGGGGGGAAGGAAGGACATCTGTAACGCTTTCAACAATAAAGATAAATTTTAAAAATAATCATAAAATCTATCTGTGAAGCACTGACATAAAATATTCATGTTCTGCCAATGAATATAGCGGAATTCCTATTAATTCCAGATAACGTTTCAGGTGCCACGACTTGGCCTGAAGAAGAGAGACAATGTGCCTCCTCTCAGGGAACTTATGCACAAAACATCTCTAGGCAGAGTCTAGAGATGATCTATTTTAATCACAACACCATGCAAGTAAAAAGGAATACTACTAGGAAAGATGTGGCACTTACAAAATCTCAAACATAACTGGTCGAGGAGGGAAAAATTTCATTTATGGGACTCAATGTTCCTTTACTCTTGTTAGGAAAAACAAGTTGAATTTTAGAGGATTTGCGGACTTAGGCTATAGCCAAACTATACATGTACAAATGAAAGAAATGTGTTTTAGCGAATGTGTCCAAGACATCGTTTCTGTCTACCCATGACCTCGGAGTTGGCTTGATTACCTGGAGGAGTAGGCGATGGGATGTGTGTGACATATGGGTGATGCTGAAATCTTGGCGGGTTGTCGTTGACATCAGTCACAGTGACGAGCACGCTGGTGGAACTGGAAAGAGGCCCCGGGGACCCAGCATCACTGGAAACCACCACTAACGTGTAGTTCTCTCTTGTTTCCCTGTCTAGCAGCGCGCTGGTGATGATCTGTCCCGTGGACGGGTTGATGGTGAACTGAGCGTTTCCGCCGATGATCCTGTAACTAAAGCAGAGAGCAGAGGGGGCAGGTTCCTTCTAGTTATAATACTGTAGCACCTATTTACTATCATTTAAAAACTGAGGCAGAAATGTAACGAAAGGCATTGCACGTAAGACCATCCAACCGTGAAAGAATACGGCTAAAAGATGGATATTTCAGACCTTATGTGAATATCGCAGTGACAATCTTTATCGCGAGACATCCGATGACCTCAAGCAGGGCCTTGCAGGGCTTCTTAAATCACGCAAGACCCCAAAGTGTACCCAGAAGACCGCTGTGCTTCAAACAGACGAGCCAGAGAGCATAAATCAGAGCCTTTGCTCTAATATTGTGGTTAATGGCCAGGATCACAGATGAACATCTGTTAAATGAATCTAAAAATTATTTTTCTGCTGTGTACCCTAAGAGCCCAGAGAACAGCAGTTGAGTAGCTTACTCTTGCAAGACAAAACCCTGTACTTGGTACATGCTGACTATCCAGAACTAGAGAACTGACTGTTTCTGCAGAGACATTCCTGGTTCCGAGGCTCTCGTCTGTCATTCCTTACATGGCCATGCTGCTCGCTGTCAGGAGAGGTGGGACATCTCCGTGGATAGTTTGATGCGAACCAGACTGGTTAACGGACAGGAGTTTCCACGGAGAATAGCTTCGCTCTTCCCCCTGGAGTGGTAAGCTATCCGCATCTATTCCTCAGAGAGCAGCTGGGGAAACGCTTCTAAGCTCGAAGGTTCAGAAATTGGCTGGGGTCCATCATTTTGAAAGGTGGAGGTAGCAAAGAAAGAGATGCCTTTGAAAGCTCTCTCCTGCAGACCGACAACGCAATGCCCTGGCTGGGACGATGGGCATGCTCCTTTAGGCTCGCTCCGCGCTCGTCAAAACACAGCCACAGCACAGGTGCCACGCAGGGCGGCACGTCCCCAGCAGCCAGCACAGGGCACACTCCTCCTGCTCAGTTCACAGTTTAAAAGACACATTTCAGCACTTTCATCCTTTTTTAGAGAAATAATAAACTGTTTGGGAGCCGCTATTTAAAAAAATAATAAAATAAAAGCAAAACTGGAGGCCAAAAATGATAGCAAAATAAAAAAGGAATAGAGAGGGTGTTTGTTTGAGAAATCATTTCAATGCTGATAAAGAACCTGGCATCACTCAGAGTTTTAGGGTCTCCTGACACCCCCGTGCCTAGATCAGGAGCGAATGTGAACCAAATGGGCTCTATCTCCTGGGCCAGAAGTGACTATAAAGTATAATCACTGCCCTTCCACAGTAGAGGCTATCTATTCCCCTGGTCAAACTAAAAATATCAGGGGTCTGTAAATGCATTCTTCTGTTTTGAATCCTCCCCTGAGGACATTTCTTCATTTATCTTCAGATAGAGTGGGAGGGAGAGAGAAGGAGAGAAAGGGAGAGAGAGAAACATCGATGTGAGAGGGACACATCGACTGGTTGCCTCCCGCACGACCCCAACCAGGGTCAGGGACAAACCGCAACCAAGGTACGTGCTCTTGGCTGGAATCAAACCCAATTCTCATTGGTCCTCGGGCCCACCCTCCAATCGCTGAGCCAAACTGGCCAGGGCTGTAAATGAATTCTTAAAGTCAGAAATTCAGCACTCGTAAAATACTCAAATCGCCTCACCTTTGGTAGAAAGTCTGCAGAAATCCGGATTATGAAAACTGTGTAACTTTATTCTGGGAAACCTAGTTTCTGTCGGTGGGTGTAGAAACCACCAAATAACTTACTAGGGAAAAGAAGTAATTCACAGTCCGCAGACTTTCTTACAACTTTACGATGGCAAGAGTCCAGGTTCGATCGATATGTGTTCCTTTAGGCATTCACAGATAAAAACTAGGATGAGGAAAACGCATGCAAATTTGGGTTTGGATATTTTGTATATAACAAGGCTGTGGAGTATTCGAAAGAACAATGTGTTGAACAGCAAATGTTGTGAGCTCTCATCCAGGCTCAAGTACATTATCCATAAAGGAGTCTTGTCCTGTAAATTCTTATTCTTTTTTTTTTTAATCCTCACCTGAGGACATTTTTTCATTTTTTGTTCAGATAGAGTGGGCGGGAGAGAGAGGAAGAGAGAGAGAGAGAAAAAAACATCGATGTGAAAGGGACACATCGAGTGGCTGCCACCCGCATGACCCAACCAGGGCCGGGGACAAACTGCAACTGAGGTACATGCCCTTAGCGGGAACCGAACCCAGGTCTCTCTGGACCGAAGGCCAATTCTCTAACCGCTGAGCCAAACCAGCCAGGGCTAAATTCTTATTCTTTATTTTATACTGTTGTACATGCTATGGTCCATAAGACTTTCTGTATAAAAGTAGGTGATATATTTACTACTTTAAAAAATTCAAGTCGTTAGCATGTGATTTTTTTTCTACACTTTTGATTCCAAAGTGTATCAAAAGTGTATTTTAAATATGAAGCATTCTGTAATATCGCATGATATCTATAATACCAGTTTCAAATACACTTATACTTAGAAGTTAAAAAGAAGAGAAAGAGAGAGAGAGAGACAGAAGAAACACCGGTGGTGAAATACGTGGATGGACCACGGAGATGATGTGCCCGGGTTCTCATCCTTCCGTGGAAATCTCTCCTGCTTCTCTGCTGCAAGTTCCTTTCTTTAAAAAGCATAAACTCTACCGGATTGTGCTGTGGCCTTAACACCCGAAGGTCTACGCTGTTCTTGAAGATCTGCAGCACCTGACCTGCCTGGTCTCCACACAAGGCTCCCCTCCCCTCAGAACAACCCGAACGGTTCGCTTGTGTGACTTGGCTACAGACGAGGATCCTGAATTTAAGGGAGACAGCAGAGCCCCACAAAGAAGCATGCCGTCTCAACGGTGGGTCTAGGGTTTGCGCTTGGTCTTTGCCTTCAGCAGGCACCTTCCCACTGCACTAGGTAAGGAAAACCCCACTGAGCCCGAGGGGTGCAGTGACGACAGGAAGGGCCGTGCCGCCCTGCTGAGGTCGCCAGCGCCTCTCGCTCACGCTGTGCCCAGGCACAGTTGTCTGTGCAAGGATTTCGTCCAAGGCAAATCAATGAATGTGGTCATCTAGTTTTCAGTTCCGGAATAAGAAAATATTGTTTCAAATTATTGGCATAAACCGAGATCATGGTTACCTGAAGTCTAAAACAATCGTTGCTGCGATTGTAAAACTAAAATATCCCCATTTGATTTATTTGAGATTTCTGCCTCTCCCTGAGATCTACTGGGGTCATAAGGCACCGTGCTGGAATACAGTGATTTGGGAATAGTTAAGAACTGTGCTTTGAACCACAGCTCAGTTGGGCATGAATTTAGAACTTATTCAGAGCACTAACATCCATCAAATCTCTCAAGCTTTCTAAGCCTTCTCTCCATCTATAGAGTGCTGATCACACATGTATCCCTTTCATTTGGTACATTTGAGTATTAAATGTAATTTCATATAATAAGCACTTGTCGTTATAATTGATACACGACAAGAGTTCAAAGTCTTGGCTTAAATAGACAGAGTATATATACATATATAATTATAATAATCTATTATCTATAAGATAAGTCCTCATCGATAGGTTCTTGGAAACTGGGACTTGAAGCAAAACAACAAATAAAAAAACAATTTTCCACAGGTAACTTGCTTAACTGTTTTCCACAGGTAAGCAAGAGTTAGGTTCCTAGAACATCTTAGTAATATTATAATGAAATGACACTGAACAAAACGATGTTCCTTGAGGACCTGCTGTGATGTACTGCAATCCATCTGCATATTTAGTTAAGTGGATAGACGGACTAACAGAGACATGGGTAAGTAGGTAAAATTTGTCCTCAAGCTGACACCCCAAAGGGAAGAAAGATATGCAGGAAAGTAAATACAAAACAAGGTGGTATGTCTAAGTGCTATGAAACTGTGCAGACCACCTTTGACTGGAATGAATAAAATAAAACCTGCCTTGGAGAAGGGTAAATTCGAGCTCCGTTTTGAGGGAGCTACCCATCTTGCAATAATGTTGAAGAGGGAGAAAAAGGTGTTTTAGGCAAGGACTCAGCAGAGTTTTTTTTCTACAAAGGTCTAGTTAGTAAACACTTTCAGCTTCACAGGCTGTTGGATCTCTGTTGCAATACACAGTTTCGTACAAAAGCTGCCTCAGACAACCCGTGCGTGGCTGGGTTGACCCTGCTGCACGACCACGTTACTGACAACAGCAAACACGGAGCGGAATTCGGCCTGCGGGCTGCGGAGCCCGGGTCTAGGATCCAGAAGGACTTGAACGAAGCCATAGGGCTGGGGGGAGCACAGACCCCTTTCCCAGGGGCAGAAGGCCATCCGGCGAGGCTGCCGGTCTGGCTGTATGTCGGGGATCTGGGCAGAGTGAGCTTGGAGGGTGCTCAGGCTGTTTACGCAGCGAGTGCACCAGGAGACAGCGCTACGACATTGCGGCAAACTGGAGGTCGCGGATGTTGAAGACGGGCTCGGTCCTTGTTCACGCTGAGCCACCGGATGCTCGAGCGGTTCCTGCAGCTGCCACTGCCCCACCATTCCCGGGTTCAGCCCTTGCTGCCTGCAAATCGCATCTTTCATGGACAGAGGAGCCTTCGTAGCGGGAAACGAGCCGTAGGGTTGCCGGGCTGAAGGCGCGTCAGCGGTGTCTCCCATTCGATGCAGAGAGAAATGTGAACGCTCCCTGGGTACGAAGGCCGATTCCCAACCCAGCCCAGCCCATGAAGGGCTTCTCCGATGCTGCCTTTGCACAACTCTGCCTGGGTCCCTGGGACCGCCTTGCCAAAAGGCCTCGCACCCCTGATGTGTCCATACACTGCTTCCCTGTCTCCCCACAGCCATCAGCTCCCTGGAGCTTCCCCTGATTCGCTCCGCTGCCCCAATGGTGCTGTTCGTCCGCCCTTCTGCTGCTTCAAGGACACTTGTTCTGAAGTGCTGTAATCACCAGATTAAAACATTTCCTCCTGCTTCGAACTGTTCTCCTCCTGGGATCTGGAGTACTTAATTCCTCCGAATTTAACCAAGTGCCTGGGGCATAGTAAGCTCCAGAATTAGCCAGTACAGTGTAGTCTGGAGATCGAAGGGATTAGCAACCAGAGTCAGGAAAGCACGTTAATTTTTATTGTAATAGTCCAGGCATGATGTAATTACGGGCTGCGCCGGGATCTTGGCAGGAGGGACGCACTGAGGAGAATGGGCGCCAGAGGCCCTAGAGAAGGAGAAACATGAGAACTTGTCCACTGACTAAGGGGGAGGGGTGACCCGAGCCATCCCGCGTGGATGAGGGCGAGGCCGCACCATCCAGGGAGAGCATTAGGCCAAGATGAGAAACAGAACAGTTTCAGGGTTCCTGATACGTTGTGTTTATGATGGCAACCAACGCCAGGTTGAGGTGAGTTCTAGAGAGTTATAAATATGGGTGGGGAGGTCTGGTCCGAGTTGACAGTACAAATACAGAGTTGTCTACATTTCCACATAGTGTTCTATGAGGCTGCAGCGATGGAAATAGGTGATTCTCAGTCTCTCTCTCAGGAAGAGAGAGAGAGAGAGAGAGAGAGAGAGAGAGAGAGAGAGAGAGGAATAGAAAAAATGGACTAAGGAAAAATGCTATGAGGCATGTCTAGATTACTCTGCAGAGAGAGAAGGAGGAGATTCAGAGGACAGATGAGAAGAAATGGCCAGAGACACAGAATGAGAAATAAGGAATCACATTTCACAGACGCTGAGGAGGAAAACAATGCAAAAAAAGCTAAAGGAGAATGAAGACTCAGAAAAAGTCACTGCGCTTGGTAAATTTCAGTAGGCTCTTCGGAGAGAGTCTCTTTTGGGTAAAGCAATGGAGAGAAAGCAGATGGAAAGATTTTTCAGGAAAAAAAAAATGGCTGGAGAAAATGTGAAGTGGTGACCTGCCCTCTCAAAAACATGGGAGAAAAAGGGAGCAACAGCAGAAGTACTGAAAAATATTAGACATACTAGAATCATGGATTTAACGCATGCATTTGGGTGCCAGGCACGACTCCGTTGCAGACAGTGTACAAGGAAGAGTGTGTTCAGAGCAGAGCAGCCCTGCCCGGTGTGGCTCAGTTGGCTGGGCGTCGCCCTGACACCAGGAGGCTGCCGGGGCGCCTGCCGGCCTGTGGGGTAGACCCTCCTTTTGCTTCCATCTCTGTGCCAATTAGCACCCAAAGGTCTCACTGGTTTCCCTCAGCAGCCTCTCTCGCACTCAGCGCTGCCTCCTCCAAACCAACCCAAATACAGATCAGTGTACACCGTTCCCGGTTTGGAATCAATAGTTGATCACCTAAAAATATCATTTAAAATCCGAATTCTTTACTATGACCTAAAGGTCCTTATGTGGCCCACATTATCTGTCCCCTGCCCACCTGCCTGACCCCTTCCTCACTCTGGTCAAGATTCACAAACCTCCCTACACACAGCAGGCTGACTGCCAGCCCACAGCCCCTCCATCCAGCCTACAGGCCACCCCCTCAGGGAGGCAGAAAGTCCCTTGTCGTTCTGTGGTGTACTCATCCTGCTTTGTTGTCAAAGCTGTCCTCGCTGTACGGAGTAATCTTACTGATTTTACATTTACATGTATATCGACTTGGACAAACGCAGGCCCAAAGTAAAAGGAGACCGTCTCGTTGGTCACTATTGCTATACTAGCGACCCCGTCAGTGTTTGTTAAACAGAAATACCTTGAGGCCTCCTACCCAGCTCGGTCACCTCTGCCAGCAGGAAGAGACGGATTCCTGCCAGTTTCTGACGTGAGATTTTAAATAGGAAATAAGTAACAAACAAAACAAATCATTCACGGGGCCATCGCCGGGCTCGGCTGGTTACCGGACAAGAGATGATCACAACAGGGTCTATGTGGATAGGGTGACATTTCTGGCGACATGAAGCATCACATTCACACAGTCCGAAGACCGGGGCTTAACGAGAAAACCGAAGTGTACACAGGAATGCTGACCTGATGACCGCGTTGGTGGACGCGTCCGCGTCCGAGGCGTTGACCAGCAGGACGTCCGTCCCCGTGGGCGCGTCTTCGGGAATCGCAGTGAAATACAGTTTGCTGGCGAAAGTGGGCACGTTGTCATTGACATCATCCACTATGACATTGATGGTTCCAGTCCCAGTCAGGGCCGGGGACCCTAGAGGGCAAACATACCAAGTCTTAATGTTCATGCATAACCAGAGCCGTGGCAGCTGGAACACGAGATGCAGACCGCACCACGGAAGAGAAGTTAGAAACCGCCTCGAGTTACTTTCTGAACAGAGACAAGCGATTCGTTTGTCATTTTCTGACCAAAGAAATCTGTTCCCTCGTGAACTAGCTTTTCAGCTCGTCCCTGGTGATGCTGCACAGAAGTTCCCGGGCACGGAGCACCAGGATGCCACGGGCACACCACAAGAGAGGCAGCCCGCATTTCTCTGACATCGCATCAGAATAACCCAAACCAGATTTGGAGAACACCCCTGGGCACCGACGAGCTGGCCCAGGACTGTAAACAAAGGCAGTGTCAGGAACTCTGTTCCTAGCTGTGACTATCGCTGTTACTGTCAAACGTTTCAGCCGGGTGCCTGAGGTCTTCAAATCCCCGTTACTGTGCTGACTGGTATTTGTTGGGGGGGGGGGGGGGCTTCCGGTTATATTTCAAAACGGTCATCTCCCACTTTCTGGAAATACGTTATGTCAGTGGGCTGACTTGGAATCACTTTCATTGCACTGATTTAATTTTTAACATGCATGTGAAGCAATTCATGTTTATTTCCTGTCCCGGCTCTGATATCCACACACAGTGAAAACCCGACATTTAACAGAACCTTGGACTCTGTCTGCATCATACAGAGTTGGCCGACTCTGATGGTGAAGGTCAGATGTCCCATTTGCTGAGATTCTGTGATTTGTCCCCAAATTCAAAGGCAAGTCCTCTGCCTTTAGTCGTGTTTTCAAAAACATTGGCAAACCTTCATTTCTGCGGGGCTCTGGACGGTGAGCCGGGACCTCAGCCCCCCGTGCCCCAGTGAAGTTCGTGGGCCAGCTGAAGACAACACTCTCCTCACAGATTTTTCATTTCTCACCAGGGACAGGTTAGAGCTAAAATAAATATTTTCAGGGGTATTATTGATGACCAATGCTGGGCCTCAATCTCTTAAATGTGTGTTTAATTATATACAATATGGCCAACTGGAGATTAATGATCTGAATTATGTTAGTATTTCTCCCACTGGTTGAATCAGAAACAAACTGAACGGAAGGATATCTGTGCCTCTGCGTGGGCAAAGGGAACGTCCCGGGGAGGAGAGGTGCGTGCTGGACTGAGAGAGGGGGTCACTCAACCGAGGCCCCAGACACAAAGGACGGGAGGGGGTGTTGCGCGCCTTCATCTCATGCGCTGACCCTGCATTCTGCTCTCTGAGTCTCAGTCTCCTCATCTGTCCAACGGGAATAGTGAGAACAGAACCTGCCCCAGAGAAGCCCCGGGGGGACGTACATGCCTAGGACACTGTTGCCGCATGGTTAACATGTGCCACCCTACGTGAGTCATGGTTCTTGGACTTGCTGTAAAAACAAGAAAAATGGAAAACTGCCCTAAACGTCCCTTTTTGGTCTAACAACTTGCTGTTGGCTGCCCCACAAAACTCTTGACTTGATGCTCTAATAATAGTTTTCAGGGAGACGCCCGCAGCCACCCTCTCCCCGAACGGTTCCCTCGCAGGAGAAGAGGTGAACATCCAGCTCTAGAACCTTCACGGCTCCGTGGAAGACACACGACTTGGAAATCCAAGCGTGCACACGCTTTCGATTTACAGCGAGAGTGTGAAGAAGACTCAACCATGTCCGAGATGCACTGCTTTCTAGCCGACGACGCTGCCCCTTGTCAGGGATGACCCAGGGACCGCCCGTGGAAGACGTGACCTTGCCACCCTCAAGGGGCTGATGACACATCTATGGAAAACCACATTCAGTGGTGACTGACTCACTTGGTCGGGAACTTGTGATTTTTTTCTTTGTCTAGGAACGGCATAAACATTGTTGGTGATGTGTTTTCTGAATTAGTAAGCAAAAAGGCAATTGTTTACCCAGGAAAATATCCAGCCAGTTCAATCTCGCCATCTTCATACCAGAGGACATTCTGTTTTCCCAGATCCTAGAAGCACACCAGTGACAAGAGAGGATTCTGCCCGGAGAAGCTGCCCAACGGGGATCCCACATCCATGGGGCGTCCCCCCCAAGCACAGAACGACCCGCGTCCCCTCCTCCCCCAGGAGCTGCCACAACCCACGCAATAAGCATGTGGGTTTCTCTCCCTCTCTTCCTCCCACTTGGAGGAGGGTCGACCCGAGGCACAGCCCCCCACCTCTGCCTCACCTTCTTGTCGCCTGTGCGCGAGCTGGTCTTTTATTCATTCATTTTTTTCAGCTGACAAGGAAAACCTAACAAAGGCATGGTTCTAAATATCTGAGTGTCTTACTGAGATTTAGCTAATCTCAAATCTGAACTCTGCCTGCAAGACTTTGTCACTTCCGTACTGGGGACAGGGCCAACCGCGCACCCCCTCCACCTCCCGCTTGTCCTGACGGCGAGGACTTGACGTCACTGCCCCTCAGCGTGAGGCACAAGACAAAGTCAGGGCAGGACGTGGGGCAGCCCCTGATCTCTAGGGAGCAGGTTGCCCTTCTGCAGGGCTCGCCACCGATAAAGGATGTCCCCTCCTCTGACGGCTGTGCGGGGACTTCCACTACTGTTTTCGACTGTTTGTCTCTCTGGAACCCATCTTCTTAACTGGGCGAAGGAATGGGCTGAGGTGCTCATGTTCCTGGTTCCCGACATTTACTGTTGGGGGTGTATCCCCTGTGCGGTGCCGCATGACATTTGTTATGACTCCACCTTCACTGCAGAACTTCCCAGTGGCTCCAGGCTGATCCATCCGGTGACTGTCGTCTCCTCTTGCAAGTTACCAAAGGACCCAATAGTCATATGTCAAAACCAGAAATCATAATCATTCTCTGTAAACTGAGCTCGTATATGTATATATAAATAGAAATATATATGTACATATACATGTATACATACACATTTATATATACCCATACGTGTATACACACATGTTCATAGATACATATCATTGTATATAGCATACTAAATATATATATATTTTATATATGTGTTACTCATTTAATATACAAAGCACATAGAGTATTATTTAATTTTTTAAATAGGAACTTGAGACAAAGAATTTAAGGAATTTATTTGCATTTGGCCAGAGTGGACAGAGAGAGAGCCAATTTTGAACTAAAAAAACAATCTCTTCTCTGTTCATTAGACTTCGATAATGCTATGCCACTCATGGAAGGTGTTTTACTTATTATTATTATTGCCAATGTACTTCTGCCGTATCCTCTACTAGATTGTGAGCTAATTGGGAGCAGGAATAATTCTATTTAACTCATCTCTCTATAAACCCATAATGCATTCCATTAGGCCCTGTCCTCAATCTATATTAACTTTTCCTTTGATTCTATATATGGGAATCTGGTCTCGTAACTACATGGCTCAAAGTTCAAAGAGCTGAACACTTCTGGAAATACACATCTGGGAATCCAGCCCTTAGCCTAAGCCTGGAGTCAGAGAACAAGACTGCAGACAAAGGTCAACATTTTGGAGATAGTTGACTACTTATAAACAGAGGGTCCCAATTAATCCTGAATCCCATGAGAAGAATCTGAATACCGGGGTCCAATGCTGAGCTTGGATAGAGCTGATAATGATGAATTATATAGGTAGTGGCGTAACAGGCAAGATTGTTCCATTTCATCTGGGACTATTTATGAGAACCAGATGCAGTCAGAAGAAAAAGAGGCAGGATGCAAATAGACTCCTGTGAGCCAACGACAGGGGTGGAAGATGCAAATGAAATAGAAGAAATAACTACTTCCCACCTCCTCTCTCCGAGGACATTGGAAATACAATTAAAGTCAGAAACTAAAATAACTTTTAAATTTTAGTTTATAAAATTATATATGCATGTATATATGTATACACTATATATAAATATAAACTGGATAGGAACCTTCCAAAATGTTTAGAACAAATAGCAAAGAATACATATGATTCTGAAGAGCACTTTTTAAGTGTTCAAAAATAAATCACACATATACAAATACACACAGGGAAAGACTGTTCACAGACTAATTTCCAGCTGGCCATGATATTGGGGGTAGTTCCAGGCTTTTGTCAGAGTCCAATTTTATATTCATGAATTTGACAAGTAATCAAACTATTACTGCCTTTTTTTCCTTCTTCTTTATTATTGATGTTAGAGAGAGAGGAAGGGAGAAGGAGAGAGAGAGAGAAACATCGATGAGAGAGAACATCAACTGGCTGCCTCCTGCATGCCCCCCACTGGGGATGGGGCCCACAGCCTGATATGTGTCCTCACTGGGAATCGAACTGGTGACCTCTTGGTGTATGGGTCAATGCACCACTGAGCCTCACCAGCCGGACTAGTATTGCCTTTTAATATTAGTGCCTTAATAAGCTCAAATACATCAATGAATAGAGGTCAAAAAATTTTCACATAACTGCTCTAACAGAAAACACGTCTTTAATAAATGTAACGAATGAGTTTAAATGACTCAAATTCAAACTGCAGGCAAATTACATGTTTTTATGTTAGCCCTCATAAGTGACACATACTTTCCTAAATCATGAAAAACTATTCGCAGAAATAGGATTTTTGCTTAACTGAAATCTGTAGCTTTGTAACAAGGCCGAGGTCATTCTAGACATCAAGCGTTTGGTGGATGGTCCCCCTGACTGGTTGTTCAGTTTAGTTTAGTTTAGTTTATTGTTGTAATAAAGTATTAGGTCCTTGTCCTGGCAGGTGTGGCTCAGTTGGCTGGGCATTATTCCAGGCACCAGAAGGTTGCCAGTTCGATTCCTGGTGCAGGCACATGCCCAGGTGTGGGCTCAATCCCTGGTAGGCGGGTGTGCAGAAGGCAGCCAATCAACATTCCACTCCCACATCAGTGTTTCAATCTCGCATTGATGTTTCTCTCTCTCTCCCTCTCCCTTCCTCTCTCTAAAAAAATGTCAATAAAAACATATTTTTAAAAATAGTATTAGTTTCTTTTTTTCCCCATGAAA